GTTGCATAAGAAGGTTGATAGTGTCAATGCAACCGTCAATGCAGTGCAATGAGGTGTAGGCAAATGTACAAACTGTTGAATTAAGTTGGACAACTGAATGTTCTACTTCAGGTTATTTTTCCCCCTTATAATTACATCACTGATTTAAATTTCTCCCGAGAAATCAGAAACAATCACATGAGCAAAGCTCCACTGCCCTTTGTTCTTGCATGAACGTATTTAGCTTTGTAATTTGCGATAAAATATTCCATTAGTTTACAATTTCTTTACAGACATTTTCACTTGAGAACTTATTACACTCTCCAGAATTTCCAACAGATGCACATCAACTTACACGCACATGTTTTGGGTCGTACATTGTACATGTCAAGGCATCACCAGTTTCGTACAAAACACTAAACCACAGTGCACTGGACTATGCAGACGGGTGCATGAAAAATCCTCAATCTAAAATTTCAATACAGCGCAGGCAGTGAATAGGAGGGGGGGGCTGGGCCCAGGCCTGCGGTCTCATGGTGGCAAATACACAAAGAACCAGGCCTCACAGGCCATTGTCAGTACTATAACAGGTCTCAGAAAGAAGTTCTGTATGCCCAATAATACCTGGGTGTCTGGTGACCTTTTCATAATTATCATGGGTTTAGGGGATACAACAGCACAGGTGTATAGGTGTTTTAAAGGCACTACCTGTGACTGATCGTGGATTTTAACTGAAGAAAGACATGGAATAGGAACATCATACTTTTCGATTTCTAGTGTCATTGATAAGCTGCTGGTAAAAGGCGACGCTCGTAAGGTGAATTTTAGTGAGGAGGAGGGTTCAGTACCTTAAGGGAACAGGACTTCAATTTTTTCCAGGGAAATGTTTTGTTGACTCTTTTTTTTTAATTGGTTGTAAATTTCGGCCCTTTTTGATCACTTGTGACAACCCAACATAAATTTTCACTTTTAATTGGAGTCGAACATGTGAGCATTACAACATCTCTTTAAACACAGACAGAACATTCCTAACAGGTGGCCACATGTATGTATAAACTATGTATATCCATACATGTACATGTACTTGGCCAGACATACAGGTAAACAGAAGCAAGTCTCTGTCCATAAACAGACTTTGCACTGTGTGGCATCTACAGCATAAATGTATGCCCCATAAGCTCAGGTTACTTTATTTTACCATGGCAGTACAAAAAACCCAGGGTGCCTTGGTTAATCCAAAAGTACATTGGCCACAAGGCAAAGAACTACATATACATGTATAATGTATCCTGCCAGGGGCCTCCCATTACATAATGCTTTTAGAAGTTTCCTGTTTCAATACAAAAATGTCCTTCGGCTTCTATTGTGCACCAAACCGTACTGTAGGCTGCCTTTTTATTGACTTGCTGTCTATGCCGGGAAAGATCAACACTTCTTTTCTTGGATCTTGGACTGATGTCCTCCTATGTAAATACTACAAATTCAATTTGTAATTGACCGTGTAAACCTGCTGATAAATGATGAAGTAGACACAAAATGATCACTTCTGTGAAAGACAAATTTTCAACACAAAACACTCACTATCGGTACATGTGTGTGCATGTATGACAGATACATTTACCGTTTCATCAGGTAACAGGGAAAACTTATAAGGGTAAAGTACATGCATACCGGTACGTATTTGGACAAACCTGGCAAGTGAAAATTTTATCTTCCTACTAGGTGCATTACAACTTAAGCCATCCATCCATCCATGATTTGAAAACCAGACATTCTTGAGCATTCCTCCAACTCTAAGCTGTGATGCACCAAATTCCAGGTTTATCCCTCTAATGACAAAACCCAATTACATGTACAGTACATGTAACCAACTTCAAACACAGTTGTGAAGTGCCTGTGGGAGACTTGCACCAAAAGTGCTACGTGTACTAGTACACTGTGTGCCAAAGGATCCCTGCTCGGCATCCCACTCTGTGGGACCGCTTTGATTTGGTTTGATTTTGGAGGGCAGAATTGATTTGAAGCCGTCAAAGTAACACATGCCAACCAGAACCCTCTCCTTTGTGACTGAATAAAGATGAAACCTACTTTGTAAAGATTGATGTGAGACGTGATAAGCAGGATTTCAAATGGAGCATTGGACACTGTGTAACAATTGACAGGTGTTAAAGGTAGCGTCCTCCAGACAACCCTCACTCTGGTTCAGTAACGTTACTTGAATCAATCAGTATACCATAATCCAGTTGTATTCAGCACACTGTAACCAATCAAATGTTGTTTCAGGGGACAGGGCATGATGTGAGGCGATGACGTAAAACAAAAGACACGGATCTACTCCCCATGTGTACAGGTACTGTACTGGCACTGTTGGTACAGCATACCCCTGATGTGCCATGTACATTATACATGTACATATATACAATGTACATACATGCACACTGCACATGGAGTTTTGTACATGAAGGGTACATGAAGGCGGCCATTAGGCATTTGAGTGATTCACTGGTATAAATTGCCAAATGTTGACTGATCTGATCAACTACCCTCACAGGATAAAGTTTACAACCCCCCCCCAAAAAAAGAATCTCATGCAATCTTGGCAAAGTATTGCACAACTGTGAATGAGATGATTTCAAACATTAGGCATGAGTGTGTACATAACACTGATAAGAGGGGTGACTCATGGCTAATAAGGATTACATGTGTGTTTTACATTCAGTGGGAAAAAAGCATGTTAACTACTATCACTTGTACATATTGTAACTGTCCTGAACAATATACATACTGGTATAATTCTAATGACAACACCTAAAACCTTTACACCGTTAAGTGGGTAAGTGATTAATTGACCGTGCAAAATCTCCTGGTTTCTTTAACACAAGTTTGTTCATAACAATATAAGAAGTACCCCGGTAAATGCATTAGCATATGTATGTTACCCGGTGTATTGGAGAGGAACCCAGAATTTTAGGATGAATTACAATGCAAACATTTGGAATGACTTGCAGAGAAACACTGCGAATGGACCAGCAAGGACAAACACTGTCTGACAATAACCTTGATAATCCCATGAAGTACATGTGCTACATGGAAACTACAAACTTAAGCCCGTACTGTAAAAACCGAATGGTAACAGAGAAAGGGGAGCTCCATCAATTCATTCAGCTAAATTCCTGGAATTCCTGCACGTCTGGCATTCACCAGTATACAGTGAGGATATCCAAGGTACGATTAAACGGATGCCCTGCACACTTAACATTCATGGCTAGATTATGTACATCTATTACCTACGTACATGCACATGCACATCCACTGCAATGACCGATCAGGTTCTGTCGGACCACTTTAAAGCAGCACTAATCCTGCTGGTTTCAGTTTTGTGCTGACAGGGTGATTTCCCTGAAATTTCCGACAACAGTGCCTCTCAATGAATGCATACACCTGTACATGTACGCCCTTTATCCGAGTTTAATGTTTGTTGGTACAGCGGCCCATATTCAAGATTCCTACCCTCCCAAACACAAACACGCGTGAATAATACGCATTCCTGCTTCCCACCACTGAGTGAATTACATGAGTAATAACCACACGGACTGCGATGACAGATGAACATACATGTGGTACAGGATCCACCCATACCATTGTTACGACCAGGATATCTGGTTGCTGGAGATTCAAACGGTCATTGTGTGACTTCCTGCCTCGGAAGATGTTGTCATGTGACTGAGTACATGACTACATGTACATGTGTGCGTGATCTGCTTCAGCACACTTAGTTTCACATGGGGCACAATTTGATGATGTAAGCATCTAAAGTATTCGTTTCTTTTTTTTTTTAACTTTTGAATTAGCTGGCCACACATACCGGTCAATGGCACATGATTAAAAATGCGTACTTCTAAAGGAATAAAATCTGAATTTCGAGGATTCCCCTCTCCCTACATTATGTGTGCCTACAGTCAAAGAAATTTGGAAAGTTGGAAAAATATACGTGTCAAGTGCTGTCATGTTTTTCTGTTTCCACAACATGCAATTACTGCAACATTGATTCTGGCTCTAAAAAGTATTTTAGCCATTATTTGTTAAACTACATTACAATGTACATGTACAGGTGAGGTACATTCTTTGAAAAACAGTATCAACAATTTGTACAGCTCTTCAACAGAATTGGAACAAGAAGAGAGACTTCGATACAGAAGTGCACCCTGCAGCACTTGTGCATCTATGGGGAAACATTTTGCTTAACATAGGAACCATTATGGAAAACTGATGGGAAGCGTTTACGATTGTACCTTAATAACAGATGGAGATACAAATAGTTAACTCTTAAATGATGAATATCACAACACGTGAGGGCTTTCATCTACCTCTTCCTCAGCATTACATCCTAATTTATGGACATTGCTGACTACAACAGTTAGGGGTCAGGTTGGCGCAGTGGTACTCTCCTCGCCTTCCACCTGTGCTCCTGGGTTCAATTCCCGGCCTGGTCCACATGCGGATTCGGTTTTCAGTCCCTACATGACTCTGTGGGTTTTACCCAGAATATTCCTCTGGGATATTCCTCCCAACCACCTAAAACTGTAACTACTGCTCATTGTCTCCTCTCTTCAGGTTTCTTCAGGCTTGAGAGCTAAAGTATCTGGGGCACCTTTGAGGAATCCTTGGTTTCATCACCAGAAAGACTTAGATGAAAGTAGACAAAGTAGAAGTAGGCCCCTAATTTGATGTTAGAGACCTGGAAATGCACTATATGGCCTAGGCATAAACTCAAAGCACGAAAGAGTATTTCTTATACCGCACATGCCATGCTTCCACTATAATATCTGGCAATAACTGATTTACTGGTAGGGAACACTTACTACTCTGTCATACACGGTAGGACCTAAAGCATAATTTAAAATGCAACACCAACATGACCAATCATTCTCATGCCACAAATACTGCATTTTCAATTTTGCTTCAGAATCAAAAAACCACCAAAAAACGCCTTTTTTGTTGGATGAACTGAATATTTGTACTTTGGTTTCCGTCCATGCAGTAACCGCGTGCCACATCAAACTTCCCAGCAAAAGAGAAACTAAAATATGGACCGTATCGCCATGCTCGCCATGTCGATGTACACAAATCCCCACACCAGCACGCCCACGCATACACTGTGCGTACGGACCTGTGACCGACATGGGATCACGAGGCGGTGTAGAAATTTCCCATCTGCCCATCCCGCCCGGCGTGAATTCGCGGCTACGATTTCTTCCCACTTCACGGCTTCCCCTGAAACATATACAATGGATACTCACTTTGGGCTTATACAACCACTTGCGTATTGACATCATCTTGAAGCCGAACGACGCTAGTAAGTTGTCATAATTTCCCGAAAACGCTGAATTCGGCAAAATTCAATACCCTGCGATCGTCTGGTGTCTCGTCAATGAATGGAAAATTTATAAATGAAAACATTGTTGATGCGTGGTGACCCTTGACATTTCTGGCGAGCTCGCTCAGCGCTAGCTCGCGCGCACAGCAAATGGAAAATAAACTGGTTTCCTGTCCTAATTTATTACATGTACATGTATTGTTTCAACCAGCACCACAGAATTATATTTAACATCCAGTTCAGGTCCTTTGTAAATATTTCTTCTGCACATGAACCCAGAAGTCTGGGGTATAACTTGTATATAGTCTTGCCTTCGAAAAATGTTCACTTGAATAGGTTTGACACGTGAGCAGGAATAGAGCGCAGTGCTAGGAAACAGATGAATAGAGGTTGGAGTAATAAATATTTGATATTTGAAAAAAAAGTATGCGTTAACTTGTGAAGAAAAATGGAGGGTAGCAAGATCTGCGCTCCCTCAATGCACACACAGAATTGTTGTCAAATTTTGTCTTTGTATGTTCCGGCCATCGGCAGCTCCGTCTGATTTTTACCCCACACTGAGTTTGGAGTTTTTAGCTCAATAAACATAATGTTTTACTGGAAGGGCATCGAACTCTCAGCTATGGACCCAACGATGGGAGTATTTGTATTATGCTTGGGCAATGTAGGCCCAAGTGGAGATAAAGCTGAGACTTGGAAGAACCCCAAATTCCCCACAGGTGTATCCTCTGCACGTATCTCCCCCCCACCTGCCATCCACTCTGATTTTCTTTACACCTGTTTTGAACTTTACTTCTGATTGTGGAGTTTTGATTCCATTTTTCACGACCAAAACTAATTCATGCATATTTCTAGTAGAGCAGTTTTTCTTTTTCTCCCATTTACTGTTTATTAACGTAGGCCAACTACTGGTATACAAAATATTGTACTACAATAGCGCCCTCTATTGTCAAGTTCCAATACATTGGCCAAACTTATGGTCAGCAAATGGCCAAGAAATGCAAAAACACCCGAGACAAAATTGATTACTTGTGTGAGATTCTTAATACTGTATGGGCAGTTATAAACTGTACATTCCCCAAAAATGTAAATTTTCACTGCAAATAGTGAACACACTGGTGTTTGAAATGTTTCGCATAAATTGACCACGTAATCCATGAAAACTCAATGCAAATTTTAATGAGGGAAAACAGCCATATGTACATGTAATTGTAATTTCATCTTGTTTACTGGACAAGTGAATTGCATTTGACAGTTTAACATCCAGTACATTTAGACATGTACACTGTTATAACAGCACTTGAAAAAAAAAGAAAAGAAAATAAAGGGAAAAAAAGATCAGATGAGATGCGAGAAAGAACACCAGAGGGTCAAAAATCATGTGTTTACTTGGAAATCGGAACTGAACCCTTCCACTGTTAATGGTTGATCAGTTTATTGCTGATGAGAGCTATGCCCACCCTCCCTCTAACCCCCCCATCTCCGAAAAAGCCCTCCCCTCTCCAAACAAGCCCCCCCCCACAAAATCCTGGCAAGTAATGCCCATGATGAAAGCTCCAAATGCGAATGCTCACATGACGATTTGTCATTTATATGGGAGGTCAGCCAGTGCAATTTACGTTCTCTGCATCATCAGTCAAAAGAGGAGGGTAAAAAGCGCCCTCTTGAGTCTGGGCATAGGGAGATTGCAACTCCACCATCTTTTTAATTCCTACAAGATTTGGGCAGGATCAGTTATCATCACTTGCTTCTAGCTTCTAGAGCCATGGCAATGTCTACTGTCAATAAGTGCCCCGATGCTTGCCACTAGCAAAGACCTCAGAGATTGTGCCCCGGGCACAGATGATTTTGGACTCTGCCTTCTGTTCTCGAGGTCCTCAGGAAGAGCCGATCATGTCCATGTCCACGTGGTGCTCAATAACCTCAGGTTTCTGTCTACTCTGCTCCCACTTTCGGGCTATTTGAAAGGGAAACGCAAAAAAAGACATGGAGCTTGGATAGCTGTGAAATGTACACCGACAGAGGCAGAGAGATTATGAAGTAAGGCCAGCATCCATTTGCATGAAGTCAAACTTTAGATAATGCCTGAACTGTTACTGTGCTTTTTTACCTTTGAAATTCCCAATTCACCTGTTTTCCTATTTTACTGAAAATTAAGTCTCATTAGCAAGGCAGATTTTATGGACCTTTTCAGCTGAAAAATTCGATCAGGATATTTTATTGTTCAATCAAAATAAGCTAGTAACCAGCCACGAGTAGCACTTAACTGGTTACCCACTGATGCTTGGCATTAACTTAACATATTGCTAAGCTGATCTGAATGCTTGAGATCTGAGTGGACTTACTCCCTCTGCCTAAACTTCCTTAATCGACTTGGTGAGAAAGTGCTTACAGATATAATACATGTTGAGTTGCTGTCGCAGTCGGACTTGCTTGAGTTCTTCCCGGTATCGCTGGGTTCTCTCCTCCATGGCCGCAGTGGGCCGGGCAAAAAACCGGGCAAACATTCCCTTATGCCTTCACAAATAAGAAAGAAATTAAAGGTGTGAAACAATGATTTCGGAACCAGCCTGGTGTTCTCAGGACCAACGATTTCATATTTCTGTGGAAACATGGAAAGACTTGAGGCAATAGACCGTATTCGCGGGGGACCCAATTTCAGTCAGATTTCCCAACGTAGTGTATTCATTTGAAGAACCAGACTCTCTTCTACGATTTCATTCCGACCCCCAAATTCACCTAGTGCCATCCCATTAAGGATTTCCAATGTATAAAACATGTTCAGGAATACCACCGAAACTGGGTACCCTGCGAATATGGTCCATTTAACTTTCATATAGTTTCATGAAAGAATTTGGCCCTACTACTAACTTGATGTCGCGGCTACCAGATGTTGACAAGCAGAAAAAAAAAAAAACTCAAACATTTTCCCCCCCCCCATTCTGTGGTGTGAGGAAGACATTTTCAACCTGCTCATATTTTTGAGAATATTAGTAAAGTGGTTTATTTATTGCCAAGTCAAAACCATCAAAGCTTAACATGCAAGTGCGTCATTGAGACAATGGCCTGGCATACATAGCAAGACCCCATGGACCAGGACCCCAGGTTTTACAGCATTCTTCTGAAGTTTTCCATCGAACACCAAGTCTGCTACTGGGAAAAATAATTCCAAATGAAACGTTTGTGCAAAGCAGAACAGAGCACAGCACATCACTTCCAACTTTATGTCACCGAGCTCACCTCTTCAGATACACAAAGAGCCAAATTGAAACCACGAAGACCACCATGTAGATGTTGGTGGCCTCGTTCCAATGGTCGATATGGACTTCTGGTGGCAGGCCGTGATTCTCACTCGCCATTTTGGAGTCAGACTCAGTCTGAGTCGGGTTCGAGCACCATCAACAAACGACCTGATAAAAGTCAAATCAGAGGACTAGCTAAATTATGACAGTGTACACCACAGCACGAACACGTCAATAATTACATCCACAAATAACACCGATGTAAAGTTAATTCCTCGTTCGACGTCGACTTTGACGTGTTGAACAAGTAACCGTTTGTAAATCCAACGTTGAATATGGTAACAGTTTGGCATTCAGGATACACACCCCTAGAAACGATGGAGTGCAAAAGGGACAAAAAAAACAAGCTGCACCACCATGCACAGTCATTCACCTGTACCTTATTTACATTGTACATGCCATTTCACAATGAAGTATACACATACAAGTCTCTCCCACGGAGGCAACCCGGGGCATGGGGTTTTTCGTGGTCAAACAAGCCCTCGAAGGTAGGTGACGATTTTTACAACAATATAATTATTTGAGGGGAAAAATGGTGAGTTATACCTGCTGTTTTAATTGAAACTATTCAAGTCAATCAAAATAATCAAGCCCACACATCGGGTCTAAACTTACTTTCAAAGTGTCTAAGTACTCTCTAGCGACCCCGCTGCATCCAATGCAACTAGGGCAACACGGTTTTCTACGGTCAAAACGGCTTTGACTTGAGTCTTGTCAGTGGAGTTCTTCATTTACAAACCACATAGGAAAGTGAACGCATAACATCAAAGGTTTCTCACATCGAAATAACATACCTAAACCCCATGCCCACCACCAGATTACATTGAAGTGAATCTCATTGATTTCCTAAATCACTGACGAATCCTTGCAACCTGGGCATACGTTTTTTTGGGGTCAAACAAGCCCTCAAATGTAGGTGGTACAGTTTGTTTTTTGTCTCTTTTGCACTCAAGGTTTCTAAGGATGTGCATTCTGAGCGCTCGCCAAAGACGAAACTGTTACTTATTCAACACTGAATATCAAACAGTTACTCGTTCTACGTTGAATGTTGAACGTCAAACGACAAATAAGTAATTTAACACACACTGCCAAAGATAACTAGGCCCTCACTGGTCTAAGTGCTTAGTCCAGGCATGGGACGGGAGGGGGTTACCATTTTGCGTTCTCGACAAACCCTAGTGGGGGAGGGCCTCAGTTTATGACATCATGACCATGACGAGTATGACACAGACACTTGAACAGACAAGGTGGGTGGTGTAGAGAATAACAAAAGGCAATGCTATATACATGTATAGGAATGGGATTTTCGGGGAAAAATGAAGTCGACCCGTGTAACATCTGGTCACCTTCCTCCATGGTATATGCAGCACCGTCTCTGGCAGGTCTGGATATGAGACCCGTAAGCAGGGCCCGAAGAATACTTCTCCGTCAGAGGAGTATTCGTTGGGCCCAGTATTCGTCGGGCCCTGTTTACGGGGTCTGAGTTTGGACTCTACGGAAAAATTTTGAGTAACAATGATCAAATGATCGTGATCATTTTTTTATTGAAATAAAAGCTAATAAACGTACCGCTGCAGTCACTAAACTGTGACCACGTCTGTCACATTCTTGATCAGTATCATTTTTCGACCACAGAATCAATGGAAGGTCAGTGGTTTTATCAATACTCAGGCACGAATCTTGAGGAAATATAGTCAACAAAAGCAAAGCACAAAACTGCATTATTAGTTGAGGGCGCTGTTTAATATTATGGTGGGTTTGGCTTTTATCACATGATTTTACATGTGACTAAGGGAAAACCCCGAAGTGCGAGCGCAGACGTCCGCTACACCTCGTCCCTTTGTCTATTTCCGGTATCTAAAAAACAACAAGTGTTCGTCATGGCGTCATTAGTTCTCAAGATAGCAATTATTGGGCTTGCTTTGTCGTCGTTGGTGACAAACTGTGGAGCTGTTTCTGTGGGTGGCGGCGCCGCAGAAGACTGCCGGGTGTTTGTGATCAGAAACTTTTTGGACAACACCACGAACACGCTTCTGGCTTTCCGAGTCTCTCAAGGGGGCCTGCAGTACGCCAAGACAGCCTCCCAAACCCAGCCTTATGCCTGGTCCAAATGGGTGGAGCTAGGAGCTCCCCCCGGTAGTAAAAACCCTTCCAATGTTTCTGCAATTGCTTCAAACCCCGTGGGCCTTCACGCGAGCAAAAACCAAACCCAGATTTTCGTCCAGGCAGGCGACGGGCAGGTTTACACAATAAGTCAAGAATTGACGGGAACAAAGGTAGCCTTTGGGAAGTGGACCAAGTTGTCCCCCCTGGAGTACCAGAGTGGGGCGGTTCTGAATGGCCAAGACTCTGTCACCATTGGGACGTATAAGAGCCAGATTGTCATCTTTGCTCGTTCGGTGACTGGGAAGTCAGGACTCTTCTGGTGTAAAGGAGATGACAGTGGCAGATTCTCCCCCTGGAATAGAATCGGCGATGCCTTAGATGTGCACCTGTTTTCAGATGCCACAGTCATCTTTAACACATTCTCTGGCTACTATGAAGCCTTTGCAGTGATGAACGATGGCTATGTTTACCGGACTTGGCAGAGAGATGACACACGCTGGGCAAACTGGAGGAGTATGGGTAATGAACGCAGAGTAGCGTGGAAACGAGAAAATTTCATGAATCATTTTCAGTTATGATGTTCTGTTCTTACAATGTTGTAGTTTTGGAAACGAGCACTGTCGTTATATTTATTTAACGATGATTTCATTTTCTTTCCTATATGATTACATATATCTGGACTTTCTTCATCTCTATGCAGGCATTTTCCAACCTAAGGTCACCTCCAAGAGCCGACCTGTTTCCAACGTGATGTCGCATAGCTTTGCCAATGGTGTCCTGGAAGTATTTGCTCTCGGAGCAGACGGCACAGTCAAGCACATCTTCCAGACAACCTGTGACAGGGTGGACAACCCCTGGGGCTACTGCACCTGGGGCTTGTGGCACACCCTGTCGGGCAAGGTGCCTCCTACCATGGGAGCCAATGTCATCGCAGCGGGTACTAACGTCCACCTGGGTGGGGAGTTGTTTGCTGTTGACACCAAGGGAAAGTAAGTACAGAAATATCATTGCAAACATGCTAACAGTAAATTCTAACATCTGACTGTATAGTACCCAGGTCTCTTATTTCGCCACTTACTGTGAAAACCAATCATACTCGACAATAGGTGGCAAAATTAGGGACCTGGCAACTATACAACCACAGACATTAGCGTGTCTTCCACTTTGAAAATGTGGCATAACTTGGGGTGAAGATCCCCCGGCCAGTTCCCCTCGTTACACCCCTTGTATTGCTTGGTATCAAGTGTCCTTGCCTGGAAGAAATGACCCCCGAGTGCTCTCTTGCCCGCTGGATTCCAGTTACGTGTATGTTACTGCCTAAAAGCGAGTTTCAAACCCAAGACAGATTAATCTCTTTTTTTGCTGGAGAAAGTATTGTTTTTACTATTCACAACAAATTCAAAGCTGACATCCAGCTAGATTACTAATATGAAAAAATATGAATGAATAAAAAAAAGAAATTTTTCATTTTTGACTATGCATGTGCTGTAGAATTTGCACATCTTGTTTTTTTGTAAATTCACGAGTTTACAAATTTGGTCTGCTTTAGGAATTTGTGCATTGCAATATTGTGAATTTGTCCGAAATCTTTTTGAACAAAAAAGTAAAAAAAAGAAAGATTACTCCGGCCTAACTTGGCAAGCTCTGGCTGTCGTATTTACACAGCGTGAATTTGACGGTAGCATCAGAGCTCCGATTTCACAAGCGAAGGTGAAGCAGATCAAGCTAAACAAGAACTATGCCATTGTTGTCATTCTTCTTATTTTTTTCATATTTTTTCAGACCCTGGCACATTTGGCAGTTAGAGAGGGGAAGTTCTTGGAGTGACTGGCAGCAGGTTCTCACCTCCGGACCCGCACAGCCTGCTATCATCGGCAAACCTTTCGTGAGCAGAGAGGAGAAGCTGTGGTGGAGGGTCTTTGCACTGAGCGGAAATGGAACGGTCAGTGTGGCTGCGGTCGGACTTGTGTCAAGTCTGATTTCCTGTGTTAGTGTAGTCAAGATGTGCCCTTAGGTTGGTCATACCCCTAGTCAGTCTTGAATGGAGTCTTAATTGGTGCGCCCTGTTGCGCTCTCTGTAGTCACTATTTGGGCTTCTGTGCTTTGGGGAAATAGGTTCACAGTATGTTTTTTGACTGTCTTGGCACTGATGAGGCTGAAATTTCATTTCTTATTCATGTGAATTGAAAACAGAGATGCCTATATATTTATTAATTTCGTTTTTCAACATTTATCTTTTTTATTTAAAGACCGTGGTTAATAGTTCACTGGGACTGAGTTTTAGTGTTTACTTTCTAATTTTTCCACTTGTCGGTTCAGAAGTCTAGTACATGTGTATTTGTTCCTTGTTTCACAGACGTCGTAGTTGCATTAAGCCCCTTGAGCCGATGAGAAAGTTGCAAAAGTCTGTGTGGTCTCTTTACAGATGGTTGTGGTGGAGCAGGCGAGGTCTTTGGATGCTGACCCAAGCCGGGTGGCATATGGGGGTAATCTAACAGTGTCTTGGTCTGTACCACTGGATGAAGCCACAAATATGGACTGGATTGGAGTCTACCCAGCTGGGGCCAATAACGATCAGTATGTAGACTTTAGGTGAGTGATATTCAGATGTAACAACCAGGCTAGATTTGTGTTGGAGTTTCCTTAGTTTTAGCTTGTGTCATCAGTCTTTGAGCCTTTGGTCTTCTAACATTTTTGAGCCGTCAGTCTTGGGGTCTTCAGTTTTCTCATGCAGGATTTGTCACATGAGCCTTGTTCACGAATAGCTCGATTTGTTGTTCGTGGGTCAGTCGCTCGAATGCCGGGAATGTACAACCGGTGATAGCTCTAGTAGTTATTTGTGGCAAGCAACATGCAACATGGCAGCGTCCTTGTGCATTCTTCGAGAGTTAATGTTGGATAACTGGGCTAACTTCTTTTCCATTTAAAAATTCATTTCTGTCATGGAAAATTATTAATGTTAATTTTGCAAAACTTTCTACTGTCTTCAGCTTTGTAAAGCCATATTGATACTTTTGCGGCTGTCCAAAAATCAATTCTCCCAAGTTTTTCCGTGTGTTTGTGTAAAATCCTGACGAGGAGGTGGTGTGTGATCCTGTTCCGAGAACAGTGTTCTTGGGTCGTGTTCCCGCCGTTCGAGCGCGAGAACACGAAACTCGTGTCAAGAACGGACCGCCCGAACTCGACCTACATGTAGGTCCACCAGTCAAATTGAAGTTTGTGTCAGAGCTGTTCAACTTTTGATTCCATTCGAGTTACTGTTGGACTTAGAGAATTTAAGTTTGGGGCAAAATGAAACAAATATGTAGCACACTCTTGCTCGGTTCTACATCAGAATCAAAATTCATTGTCCAAGCCATACTTTCAGACAAGAAAAGAAATTGACAGAACCAGAATGTAATCCTCGTTATCACTGGCCGTCTAAGCATTGAGCCATTGTGTTATTCTGGGGATGTTCAGATGGCAAGACGACAAACCCTCGCCAGGAGAAAAGGATACCTCTATTTGCATATGTCACAGGTTCTATCTGATGGGTCACAGGCTCAAATCTTGTGAATTTGCAGTTGTTTAACCAGAAACGGATTGAAAATCAAACTAACCAGTTTCCCTCATGAAATAATTTAGAATTTAAAAAACCTCTGCTCAATCTGTGCAGTGCTGTCTTGTGGGCACAGCGGTCTCCCTTGATGGCCTAAGCACTGAAACTGAATAATGGAAGACTTTATTATTTGTCATAAAATTCAATTCATTTTTTTTCGATTAAATAAAACAACATAACACCGCAGGTATGTACAAGGAGGCCAGAATCCTATGGATAATGCAGTACCAAAGGGGAAAGTTGCACTGGAATCCTACCTTCCGGATGGGAAGTACGACATTCGCTATCTGGTCAACAGACAGTTTGTTGATGTGATTGATAAATGTAAGTGCTTTTATGCATGTGATGTAGTCTTTACTGTATCCGCCGTGCTCAGTGACATTAGTGCACCTATAGCAGAAAGTATTTACTGACAGCTGCCACTTTTGCAAACCCCTTTTGTTCCAGCCGTTGTATATTACGGTGGAAGCCGTGACGCGCCTTGGGTACAAGTTTATAGGGGGATCTTCCGAGGCTTGGGTACCAAGACCACCGACTTCAAGCAGTGCGTGCAAGACGGAAACAAGACCGTGGCCACATTCAGGGAATCCTTTGAGGCATTCCGCAACAGAGAGGTACTGTAAAATTGATTTCCGTACAATATTATCCACCCCGAGTTGAAGTACATCCCAGTGCTGCAGTCGAAACCATGTAAGACCTTCAGAAGGCCATAAATTCAAATGGAAATTGGTCGCGTGTGCACAGTGCATGTCCTGCACCAAAAATACAGGAACTTACAATCCCCGCCAAAGGACTGCCATTGCTCTGCAAAACATGTCTGATCTTCCTGCTTGGACAGTGGTAGTGAAAGAGCCACCGCTTAGAAGGAAGTTCTCAGTGTTGTGCAGGAAACTGAAGAAATGCCCCCTACAGTCACAGGGCATCACTGAGCCTAGGGAGAAACAAGATTGCGAATGCATAATGTAGGATGTTATTCTAACTTTGGCTTCATTGTTATTTAAGGTGTACAAGGGTCTTCAGGTGTTTGGCATGGGCCTGAAGGATGTCGTGGAGACCTTAAGAGTCTGCCTGGAGACGGACATCGCCAAAGCGGTGGAGCGATTTGTGGAGGACCTCACCACTTGCATTGAGGGCCACTGTGAGCACTTCGTCATCGATGCCCTTGACATCTTGCTCATCTTGTACGAGGACGTCTACGAGATTTTCGGAGACATCCGGGCCGCCTCCAATTCCTTCAACGTGGCCAGTGCCTACGAGCAGGGTGGACTGTGCATTGGCCGCGTGGTGAATGTTTGTATCAGTTTGCCACGGCAGAACAAAACCGAGTAACCAAAGAAGTCTGACAAGATAATAAAACGATGCAGTAAATAATTAGACAAAAACATGTAATATGCAATATTACAGAGCTTTTTGTGTCATTGACTTGCTGCCAATGGAACTGCTTAGTCACAGGACCTGAAATAATTGGAAAATATTGTAACAAAAAAAAACTATTTGCGCTTTCACTTTTCTTCTGTTGTAACAATCAGGGGCCAATTTCATAGCGCTGCTTAAGCACCAAATTTGCTTAAGCATGAAAAAACCTTGCTTGACGAAGCAGGTAACCAACCCAAACTCCACGTGATGTATATTGTTTTTGAATGGTATTCACCTGTCTTTTGGTTAGCACGACTATCACATAGATTTTGAGCTGGTAACCTTTGTTTTTTAAGCAAGGATTTTTTGCCCTTAAGCACATTTTGTGCTCAAGCAGCTCTATGAAATTGGCCCCAGCTGGTCAACAATTTGCCAGTACCTTATCAATCAGAGTTGTAACAGACTTAAGTTATTTTTGTGCCAGTTACAGCATTTACACACCGTTGCCTTGCCTTGGCCCGAAGGGCCCCTGCGGGCTGTGGCCACACAATGGGATACCACATAAAACCATTCTTTACACATATATAGTGGAATTTCTGTGGTTGAGCCGGCTTGATACTTCACTATAAAACCTTGCTGTAGTCTTAGCTCAGTGTGGGTTTGGGACTGGGCTTGGGCTGTGTGAGTTTTTTTTAATTTTCCAACCACATGTACCAGTAGGCCTGCACTGCTGTGGTCTGGTTTATTACCTTTGAAGCAAGATATAGGATGGAGAGCACCCCACCCCCCACAGACACACACATTGCGTTGGTTGTTGTTTGATTGGAATCTCAGGCCGTGTCCAAAACGGGCTTCCAGAGCTACGGCTAGGTCTATTGTCTACGCGTCTCCAATAGAGTGAAGACCTAGACTTAGCTCTAGACAAGAGATTCAGATGCAGCCCCAGGAATTCTTGACAGACATTTAGGGGGGGCTGCTTTAGGTAATAATAGTCTGCAGTGTGTATAGGGATTGGACATGTAGGGGGGTACCCCTCCGTCCCATATCTTGCTGGGTATAATTTTCAAAATGGAAAAGTTCATTCATTTGTTTTTAAGCAACCCCAAGTGATGAGCATAGGAATGATGTAGCAAAAGAATGTAAATTTGGAAACAGAAAAGTTTACTCTCATGTGTAAATTTTGAAAAAAGCCATTTTGGGGGGGGGACATTTTTGTATACTGCTTTTTTGAAGCAGGTTTACACATTTTGACAGTTATGCTGGGAAAACATGTCAGTTTTTCGCGCTTTTTTTTTTTAATCGAGTAACAGATTTTGGTGATCGAAAAAGGATTTTGCTGGAATTGCTATCAAGGCTGCGTATTGCAGGTCAGAAATTTGTGACTATCACAATCGGCAGATGGATAACATTTTAATAGTTCCAGATACTTTCAAGACAGGAAACCTTTGAAGCTTTACAGTGATGTGACAGACAAGTATCGTGTCTTCAGATTTTGGTGTTGGATAAATCCACAGATTATTCACTCGCAAGTCCTTGTGCAAAATGTGTTGCATAAACTTGCCTCGTTTGGACTTCCTCTTAAACAAGGGCTCAAGATCTTTTTTCTCTTAATGAACAGCTTTATCTTGGAATTTTGGCTGGGTGCAGTTGGTCAGCTAATCATTGTACAGAGACCTTCGGAATGAAAGTGACATAATAAAGTTTGTTCATGAACAGAAGACCTTCTTTGTGATCTGTACATTTCCAGACATTTCAGTGAAGACTTAGATGACTTCCTCCACAAAGCTGTGCTTTTATTATGGACCAAAACATAAGCCAGAAAGCAGTAACATGACACATATACCCTGAAGGTGAGCTTTTGCCGAATGATCATGCAAATGCAGAATTTCACAAATGCACGTAAGTTATAAAGAGTGCCACCATTACCTTACTGGCACTAGAGAGCACCCCGACACTTCCCAACTTCCTAACTGTGTACCATGCTCCGAGGTTAAGCAAAATGCAGCTGTTCTTAACTGCCTCTGTGCATCACCTGGAGAAAATTCTAGCTGACTTTTTCTCCCATTTCTTATGATGATTCACACTCCTTTAGGTGTCCTGCATAAAACTAGAATCATTTCCCTTTTTCCCCTGTGGACTTTCTCCAGAAGTATCCAAATGCAAATTTGGTTTACCGTGCTTATCGTGTTTTTGTATTTTCGTATCACTTTTCTTTTTAACATGGGTTTGTGCTAGTCCTGAGTATTTCACAAATGTTTTTCTGCTATCCACATTCCAGTGGTGTAGCATGAAGGGGGAGGGGCTAAGGGGTATTTCCTCCCATATTTTCTGGAACAAATCCCCTTTTTCACGAGTGTCTTTTTTTTCTTCAAGAGCCCTTTGTTTAGGACAACTTTGTGCTAACATTACCCCCCCTTCAGTTTTACCGGTTTTGGGTGATGGGTGAAAAACTTGTCGACTTCAAATTGTAGCATGGATGATGAGCAGTTCCTTTTTCTTCCCTACCCCCCCATCAAGTTGCCACGGCCAATGCACTCTTTCCCTCAGCTACATGTAACACCATTGCCACATCCAGCATGCCATGTCAATTTCCCATTATCTGCTTTAAAAGAGAAAGGAATCTTGTCAAGAACTTCTCTATCGCTTTAAACCTCTCGAGTCGCCATCAAGGCTGTGTAAACAAATCCTGATTGCAGATAGGGATGGAAGTTGTCTTATCCAGGGGCTGCTCGAGAATGGATTATGCCACGATCCTTACACAAATCAGCTCCGAAAACTCTATCAGACAGAGACAGCAACTGCTGATAAGACAGGAACCTTTTCACAGTGGCTGAAATACAGGAAAACCTCTTAATACATGTATCTTTCAGCTGGAAACATTTATGCGTGGTTTTGATATTTGATGTTGCGAGTTCAGGTTAGTATAGTACCCATGTAGTCCATACATCTACCACTTTTTATCACCGACTCGGGTTCGAATCCCAAGCAGGCCATCTTGTGCATTGGTTGTGGCACGGACTTGTAAAAAGTGCCTGACTTAAAAAAATTCAGTCAAAGTGCAATCCTGATTCTGTTGAGGAAATTTGACCATTTTCCACGAGGCTACTTTCTCACAAATCACTGATTTATTTTACATCATAGTACAGAAAAAAAGGAGTTAAACTACATTCACTTTTTTGCATGGATAAAATTTAACTTAAGTTGACTGAGGAAGTGAGTATAATAGCTACTAAACCGTACAGTTATTGTACACAAAGTTATTGCACATTGTTACTTTGTCTCACTAAAAAAAAAAAAACCTGATTAAATAGACATCTTCAGAAGGACAGCTTTATTAAAATGAGATATGGATGGATTCTACTCAACCTTTTCTTTCCATTCTTTGAAAAATGGTATCAAGCTCCGCTTTTAGACTCCTCATAGGGGTCCAGGGGTTAACGGTTGTTCTTTCCATGGCTATTTGCATATTAATACTGGCTGGATTTCCCGCAGCATCTTCGGCAAAGTATGACTTTGTGCTTTCTGCTATTGTGCGGTCACAAGCTGTCACAAATGAAGCCCTTTTTTTTTTGCACACTTCATGGGATACATGTCCACACCAGACAAAGCCTGGGATTGACAGCTCACCCAAAAATCTTCACAGTTGATGACAAAATTCCCTCAATTGGATCTTAAGCTGTGGTGTACTTTCTTCCAGATGCATTTCAATTACAGAAAAAGTGATAGCCACAAAAAAGTGGATTATTTTTGATGAACATTTCACAATCACCCGAAGAACCAGTGTCTCATTTATTTTCTTGCTGTGCGCAAGACTTGTATGCCTAACAAAAGGAATCCCGAGGGACAGCAACTTCCAGACAGTTATGCATTTTTTTCGTGGGAAAAAAATGCCAGCAAATGTCATTTACTGTTTGTTCACCTTTGTTCTGCGAGTGTTTGATAATGCATCTAGACATTAAAGGAAGACGGTGGAAGTGGATGCTCGGAGAAAATTGTATTTGTGATCAAGAATGCAACCGTTTTGGACATGGATTCTGTTCCTATTCGGAGGAAGAGCCAGACGCCAGGAAAAGAGTTCTATTTGTGGAATGTTTACGGTGGTCCAATATGCAAATATTGACTGCTCCCAGTGATATAGCAACATTAGCTTCCCGAGGTGATCTGTTGAGCTTTTTTTTTTGTTTCCCCAAAGATGAGGCTGGGGGAAACGTGGAATTCCCAGCAGATCACCTTGGCAGGTTAGTTTACAACACTGTGAGACAGAGCAGTAAATATTTGTTCCATAAAGTCTGGCCCACACTTACTGCACAGGTTTTAGTGATGCATCATCAATTGAAACACTGACTGCTGTAAATCTCTGTATTCAATTCAACATGTACTTGAAATGTCTCCAGCTCACTTCCAAACTTCCTCTTAATTGCTGCAAATGTTTCTATCGACACCAACCCTCAACATATACATTCCAAACACTGTTAGCCCACTGAAACGTATTTCAATCAGTGGCTAAGCACACAACACTTCCCAGAATCAGGTTGCCAATGTAGTACACAATGAAATGGTAAAAATAGCAGATACTGTGCGATATCCTCCTAGCCAATGTTACAGGAAACATACTAGAACATGTAGAGGGAATGTATATGCCGTATTCAAAATGGCCGCTCTTGACTTACAATTAATAACCTACGACCTTCACTATGGCTCAAAGACCCTTAACTTGAATTTTGAATACACAAAAAAATGAATGGTACAAGCAATATAAAATAGTCATACCTGAATAAAGTGTATGGATTTTTGCCAACTTTGATCTCAGATTCATGTTATTAGCCACTGTCAGCCAATTGCATTGCTGGCAATAAAGTGAGAGTGGAACCATTTTAAATTGCTCAATACCACATAATGAGTCCTTTCATCTTTTTGGGTAATTTGGTTTTAATTTGCTTTGGAAAGGAGCAAAACTGTTTTGATGTTTCACTTAGTCGAGATGAAAACGGACATTATGTGGGTGAAAATATTGAGGATGTTACCAATTTACACGATGCAAGACGCAAAGAGGATTCTGTGAAAGGCTTCTTAACTCAGAAATGGCTCCGGCAACTTGTGAATCAGGCCGGGTCAACAAGAGAGTCTGATCGAGAAGTGACTATTTGGCCATTTGACCAATTTTGCCAGCCTGCAGAAATTGGTAACACAAAGTTCTTTTCAGCTGCATACACCACACTACAGAATAGCTGAGATATTGTGATGTCCCACCCTGACTCAACTGAGGATTCTTTCCATTTTTGTCTAGTATTACCACACAGCTGCACATCACAAATCAACTACTGGTATTCTCCAGTGGTCTCTTTAATTTACTCTGTATTTATACTAACATTCATTGCACTTCACTTTTTTTCTGTTAATATATTATTTCATACTATATTACAACAGATATAGATAGAAATATTCATATAAAGATAAGTATCCAACACTAACAAAAGATGGAGTTCAAATATAATACATGTACTATGGTATACTCTTAGTAACAATAAATACTATATAAAGTGTAATAAATCATCCTTGGCTACATCTGGGACTTCTTCATGCCATGCAAACAAGATTTCAAATTTGGAAACACTGTTTACTTTAGTGGAATGATCTAATGAATAACTAAGGAATATCTTGAAAGAGTCCCACGTACTAAATGTTATTGCAACCTCCAAATGTTGGAGAAATAAGAGTGAAAGGAAATCAAGACACTCACTAAAATGTCGTGACAGTGTGCTGTGCATTCATGCTGGACACGAAACTGATTTTCTGTTTACATTTTTGGGGTTTAAAGACGATGTTAGTGGAAGTACGTTCACGTTTATAATATGATACAATGGGTCAAAACTGTTACACAAAGCAATGACCAAAAAACAGGCTTGAGTGGGGAAAAGGTATGGGCATATCGGCATCACCGTGCACGTCAAGCAATGGATTTGTGAGCAAACAAAGACGCAATTTCATGATTTCAAACTAAAAAAAACAAACGAAATGTTCTCCAAACATTAATCGCAGGGAACATGGAATTTGAGAAGCATCGGAGAGGACAAACATTGAAATGTACACACTGGCAAACTACATGTACAGCTGTGATTTTGAACGTGCATCCAGCAGTAAATTACGAAAATTTCACACTGGAGGAGAAAACTAGACGTGAAAAACCTACCACAGGATAGGTCAGCCCACCAACAAAGGAGAATGAAAAAACTAGTCTCCTTTAATATTATGCTTTATCTCAATTTGGGATACATTTCTGAGGGTGGGAGTTTTTTTGAGTGCTAAGTGCCAGCCATGACTGCTGACGTCAACAGTGGACTTTGTAACTCATGGCAAGCTTCAAGCTACTGCGCTGCAGTCCAGATGGTCAGCAAAAATGGGAGGGGGGGAGGAAAAACAGACAACAGAACTACCAGCGGGCAACCTTTACTAAAATGTGCAATGAGTGTGGTCATAAGGATACGGGAGCTGTATTATTAATAGCAAGCAATCGCAGAGAGGACGTTAGATAACAGAATGACATCAGACATGTTTGGGAACAAACAACAGGCTTGGGGCAACTGAATCAAAAAGCATCTAAACTCAAAATCGTTGCCCTGACTCCTCCTTTTTTCTTTTTTTTTTTTTTGGAAGCATCAAATCTTCATGGTGACCCCTTTTAAACCCAAAGAGGATCAAATCCAGGCTGTGGCCGACTATTTATGCACATCCTCAGAGACATAAGCCAAGTAAAAGGCCGCGTCCAAATTACTTGGTCGCGGCTCAAAATGACACTCAAGTCCGGGACACTGCAGGCTGCTGCTAATAACTGTAGGGTCGGGTGTAATTTCAGGCTGCAGCCGGTAACAAGTAATTTGGAAACGGAGCCTAGTGACCTTGAATGACACCCAGTTCACTCGTGAATTTGATGGGGACTTTTACCATATTGGGAGCCAGGAAAATTTACCGTTGAGCTCGCTCAAGATAATGGCTAAGGTTACGTCCAAATCTCACCAGCTATGGCCGGGAATAAAACACACGTTTAGGGAAAGTGGTTGCAGCCACTCACGCAATCATTCCACCGAGACAGAATTTGTTAGCCCTACCTGCTGTTCTCAAGGATCTGGATATCAAATCTAATCACATAAAACTTTCAAAATTATGAAACGTCAAAATAATTAAGTATGCGCATAGCTGATGAAGGCAATTAGAAGGGATCAAACCCTGATTTTGTTGATAAGAGATACACTGTGCATACTACTGTAGGTGTACCACGGTTTTTGAAATGTTAAAACTTGGGTCACCTATAGACCGATCTGGTGACAAGAATCAGGAGCCATTACTGCGGTGTCCCCGCGCGCGTGAACAAAGAGATGCACATCGAATGCCTCCTCATCAGCCAATGGGAGTGCACTGCTAACCAAAATCACCTGCTTGTCAAGCCTAGGAATGCACGCCTTAGTGACGGGGACACCGCAGTAATGGCGTCATCGAATCGGTCTACAGAATGTTTATAGCAAATGGTTTTGTGAAGGACCAGGCCACAACTCTGTCAAATTGTGCACTCTGAATTTGAGGCATGCTTGCACGGCAAATATGAAGTGCACAGGGTGTGGCCACGCACACAGCGCATACATGTACAAAGTGGGAGTGTGCAGACATTACACATGTTCCTCTCATCAGCACAACTGAACTTCAAACGTGCAGCGCAAGCATAGAGCGAAAGAAAAAATTCTATCAGGAGGGGATCGAGACGTTGAAAATGGCTTTGGAAAAGGAGACGATGATGGGGTAACTCGAGGAGGAGGAGGGGAGGAGGATGACAGATGGCAGACAGCTTTGACACAAGTTTACTTGCCGAAAAAGCCGCTTATTTTGTCTGTGAGAGGCGTGAAAAAGTTCATGACAGTGTCGACGAGACCTGGATGAGAGAGAAAAACCGAGAGAGCAAAAGAAAGAAAAGAAAAACAGAGACCGTTTCAGCGAAGGAGAATCAAGATGACGTGCAAGCTCAACACGTGTCATGTGTCATTTCATTTCCCCCTTAGCTACTAATCTACTGCTGATGACCGATGTGCATTTTGAGTGGCAGAGACTGCTTGGAATCGTATGCTTATATCCTGTCCTGTTAAAAAATTTTTTCCATTTAAAGATATAGGAACAAACTTTTGCTTCAACGGGAAACATCTTTAAAGCCAACCTTGTCCAATACCAGGATCAATGACCAACATCTACAGTATCTAGAAAGACTTCTGCAGGTCTGACTTTTTGAATTATGCCAAAGAATTAAGTACTGATACATCCACCTAAAATCCTAATTAATTCAAATTTTCGTGTTTAAATATAATTCCATGTATTCCTTTTCTAGCACCACAGCCATTCTTTCAATGCCTGATTGTTGATTAAACAAATTTAAAAAATCCACCCATTTGTATAATAACTTGCCCAAACTGTGAGAGGCCACCCCCCCCCAAAAAATGGGAAAAATCAACACCACGGGTAAAAATATTCAGAATCAGATCTTTGGAGAAATATAAGCAAGATTACTTTCTCTGGTTGCCTTACTCCAATGGATGCAGTACATTTGCTCCTTGTTAAAAGCCACATCACGCACATGCCATCATGCACACAACATGCTTTGTGTCTTAGTGGTGTGCACCTCTGACAAATTCTCCCTCATCATTCAATCCATGCATATAAATGTGGTTAGTCACCTGCTTCACGTGTTTATGACAATGACATTATGCACTCTCCGCATGCGACCTGCTGGCCTTACATATGAACTCTGTCAGTTCACCATACACGCATCAAGAGTCTTAATTACTCGTCAAGGGTTTGATTTTTAGAGGGTTTTGTAAATGCATGGATTTCAGTGGCACTTACATGTAAAATGCTAAAACCTTGAGTTTTTTGCCAACGTTGATAAAAAACAAAGGAAATCTGATTTAAGAATCTTGTTGAACATTCGCATGTGTTGCAAACAAGCCGGATCAGCTTTAAACTCCTGCAAAAAGGACTCGCTTGTTTATCACAGCCTATGTTTTCGTGTGTTTCTGCTTCACAAAAACAATCTTAAGAAACAGACTGCAGGTACATGTACATGTATAAAGCCATCGGAGACATGTGCAATCCCTCACCGGAGGCAGAAACAGAGAAAAACACTGTACATATATGAATTCAAATCAATTTCTTCACATCTGATTCGCTGTTTTCCCGAGCTCTCGCCAGTTGTTCAGAGACAGTAAGACTTGTGTTGCCCGGGGGCCTTGAATGGCATTTTTGCGGTGAGCATATCCAATCTCCCAGTGAAAGAACTTGGGATTTGTGGTTGCAGAGGGCCCGGGACGGTTTTATCCCCCATCTGTAAGTATGGATCTTGTTACAATTGATCAAATGGAATGGGAGGGCAGCACATTAGAACTTTACATAGTTAGATTTTTTTTTTCCAAAAGAACATAACTTATTGAAGTAGAAATTTGAGTGGGCGAGTAAATGATTTCAGTAACAGGGGAATTTTTCCTTAAGAGCACTGTTTTCGGTAGAGTGTGATATCCAAATATGATGAGGATGATAGGCAGGTTAACAATTAGACACACGCCGTATCAATGGACAAAATCCTTGGGGCAACATATCACTTTTCATATCCTCTATTCACAGACAGTTTTTATCATCCTCATATATAGATTAACAAGTTACTGAATATGAGTTAGCATATTAGTGGTTTTGTTTGAACATTCTGAATGTCCCTCCAACCATCCAACCACAATTCCCAAGCAGGGTTGTTCCAAAAACCATGGATAAATAGCAAGTCCACTGCCTTAGAATGAGACTAAACATTCAACTCACATTTGACCCGAATATACATGTAAATTAAGAAAATATTTGCTGATTGGGAAAAGTCAAGAGAAAAACTGGAAGTACTGAGGTCTTTTTTACAGAATGTTTTCTACAAAATTACTACGGTATTTCTCAAAGGTTTGAGAAATAGACATCAATAGAAATGCCATCAACAGAGATCTACGGGTGTGAGTAAAATATACAGAGCACATGACCAGCCTACACATGAACTTATACAAACAGGATGGAACTTATTACGTTTGAAGAACTGAACCTTTTTATTTTCCTTTGTACACTTCTTTTTACACAACTATCACCGCAAAGCTGAAACAAAATAGGGCACCTGCGTGGTTAAAAATGATCTTTCGAATTTGATTAATAGATCTCAAATATTAGTCATGTTGCGAATGTGTTCGCATGTTCAGTTGGAGTGGTCACATTACCTTGCAAAAGTTTTTCTGCTTAATTACCTGCACAAATTTTACCCATAATGTGTTGTTAGATATCTGCAGCCTTGCGCATGCACATATTCAAGCTACGCGATAAACAAATTCATTATGCACAAATGTTAAAGGCAGAACACCAAGCGTGCATGCTTCATCTATACAGCCAAAGTACGATCATCGATGGATGCCCCATCAATTTAACCACGCAACATTTTACACAGGGATTGTGGATGTGCAGGTGCAAGGCACAGCACTGGATCCATCAAAAATATTCCTGGAGTGTGTGAAGAACAGCCTCGAGGGGAGAAATATGCTAACATCAGAGTTTCTGATTATCAATCAAACTAGCAATCGACCTATCTCAGACCTGCATGTACACTACTCCCCATGTCTGCTGTAGTGAATATTTTTGGACCCTGAATGGCAAACAGGTGGGCCCCATTGCTAATTTATTTAACTTTTAAATTAAAAAATTTAAATCTGTTTTGAAAAAGACTTGCACATAATTTTCCCTACACTTCAAAAATGAAATGAATTTATGAGTCTGAATGCTTTTAACCGGTAAATTATCAAGCCCCATACAAGCAAGACAACAAAATGGGCAGGTACGTACAGTGCACATGTCCATGTAGTAGAGGCTATGGGGAAGGTCACTCTGACATCCAACACAACCAATTAATTCACCTGATGTCCACTAATTGTGACCGCCATGCTGAGAACAATGTCTATTTGCCTCGTGCCCACCTTGTAATCAGATGTGCTTAGGACACCCATCATGGCCTCATCTAACGTGCACACACATATGAATAATGTCACGGTCGGCAGGCCAATGGTGTCACTAGTTGGGTTGCCAGAAATGCTACCCCGAGGACAGAGCGCTGTCCATCAACCCTGAATCTATCGACGACGTTAACCGCCTGAGATGGGGGGGAGGGAGGTTGGAATCTATTTGCAATGCTAAGTGGCAGACAAATATTCAAGAGGGGATTATATATCTGTATTTATTTGCAGGAAGGCCATCAAGGTTTGCGGCCCATGTCGCTTCTGTCGATGGCGACAGTGAAGGAATGAATCATCAAAGTGATGTGTACATGAAGCAACGATTCTTGGGGTGCACATGTGCCATATTGTTTTGTCCAGCAAAGCTTGGATTGCAGGTTGTAATGTCTATTAAGATATCTATATTGGAAGGCACTGAAGCAGTTTCAAACTCTTACATAGATTAATAAAAATTAAAAAATTTTGAGGATTCTAGTGGAATTCTGAAGTGTGTGATAGAGTAAATACCTAAATTTTATTAAGATGTAAAATATTGTTTTACATCTTAATAAAATTCAACCAGTGGGACAAACCTTTTCTCTGCATACAATATCATATGCTGAGCTTTTCTTTTATGAGACACCCTTTTGGAATCTTGGGCATCTTTTCAGAAAATCCTATCTACTTGAACTAAAGAGCTTTTGATGGATTATTGAAGTAAAAATGCAACAGTTTTAGCAACTTCCAACTGCTGAGGCCACCGCAGGGCTAATGAATACAGTGTGATCCTCTTTACAGAATGGAATGATGCACGTATTTGTTCTCTTAACCTGCATTTCCTTCAGTGTCCATTACACTCCAAGCACTTTGCATCAGGAGCTTGCGGGCAACTGCATTCTGACGAGTTCATATTCAACAAAGCAATACATGCCGTGAAGGGAACTGAACGGGAAAAAACATGCATCAGGGACAAACTAGTTGTAGATGCGTACTCAGAACCAGTTTTTCTTGGTTCTCTGTTTCTTGGGTTTTTTTAAGGCATGTACCTTAGTGGCCATATAAATATTTAAAATATTTAAGGATTGGAGGTACACTTTGTCGGAAGTTTACTTTGTCAGTGTGGAATTTTTGAAGTTTGATTGGAGCAAAAGACCCTGAATGTAAGATAGACACCTGCTGTAAAAAGGAGAGAGCTGAGCATGTCAGTGTGCACAAATAGCGCATTGTCTGGAGCCAACGTCTAAGCAATTTTTTTTTACAATTATTGGTTACTGCTTAAGATTCTGGAAAACAAAAAATTCCAATTTGCTATTTGTACAAATTTTCGCAAATTTACAAGCACATCAATTCACAGACAGACAGACAGACAAGCACAAATATATCCCATGGTTAGTATTTACAAGATGATGATACTGTGCACGTAAGACAACAGAGAGTTGAGGGAGTGTGAGAACAACTGAGTCAGGCAAGATTCATGCGCACAAGATGGCTAAATGATCATCCAAAGCCTCGTGGACAACACACCGATGCAGTGTTCATGCAGTTGACAGAGTTGTCACAAGAAAACAATGCAAGAATTCAGAACCAGGCAGATCTGGGACTTTCTCACTGAGGATTCCCAACATCCCTCGTTCCTGTATAAGTGCTCCTAAAGCTGCCTTATTCCTTTTCCAAAATCGTCCAAACACTCTGCTTCACCCCAGGAAATCCAACTTTGGTTAAAAAAAAATTCCTTCGGAGAATTACCCCCCCCTCTCCTCCCACCTCCACCAAAATCCAGGAGGAAAACTGGGAAGGATTTCTTGTGGATTTAGGAAGGTAGAGCCCCACTACTCTCATTCTGTAAGGTGCATGATACCTGTTGAAGGTTGAAGTGAGGAGAGCTTGTAACTGGTAACCTGCACAGTGCAGGATTTGAGAAGATTCATACAGGTTCCCATGAAAAGACCTTGGTTACCGTGCCAACCTGTTCAGATACACAACCTAGGGAGGACAGAATCTTGTTCATGTTACCCCTCTTAATGTGGGGCCTTCGCATCTTGATGATGCTGATTTTACATTGAAAAAGAGCCCTGTGCGACAAAATGCATGAAGAAGACATCTTCAATGTCCCTGTCTGAGATCCCCCCCTCATCATCAATCAACAATCTGCCTGCGCTTCTGCAGTTTGTCGCATTTAAGTGCCAATAATCAGAAAATATTACATCTGTGTTTTCCAGGAAAAAAAATCCAGGGCATGGGGAAATGTGGTACAAAGACAGCGCCCACGATTCCTTCTGCAAATTAAGTGAGATGTCCAGTTAATTTCATCAGAGCGCATCAGCGAGTTCATGAACTTAAGCCTGACCAAACTTATACAATGTGTCTCCACAATATGCAACACACAGGATCTGGGAGATGCATTTCCTGTGCTCATCAGAATCTAATCCTCTTGCCATATGTCTCAAGTGCTGGGCATCATAAGACTTTATCCGTTCATTTTTAGATCAAATAAAAAAGGAACACTTTTATGTCAAATAGGAAACAGCTATTTGACTTTTTAGGGTTCAATAACAAGCTAACAGTGTCAAAAAAGGCCATTCGTATGTCAATGTCATTTTTAAAAACATAAATTCATAACTGGCTGAGTTACACAGAACCATGGCTGATCAACCAAAACAAATAAAAATTATTGAATTCTGGCAACTTTATAAAATGATCCCTGGTGTAGGTGACTGCATTCGAGTCTACATGTAAGTACATTTGAAAAAATATGAGATAAGCCCTGTCAAACATTGAAAAAAAAAAAAAATTCTGATGAAAAACATATTTCCCTGCAAAATAAAAAAGTGGCTACATTTAAAACACAGGTATGGCTATTTTCATGCTGCGTGTATACGTGGAAGCCACACACATATATGCCACGTATACGGGTAGAACACACAGAAACTGCATGGTGTTATCACCCAAAGTCGCACAGGAAAAATCCATTCGCTTCTAGGCAACCAGGTCTGGGGTTTTAATATATACCGAGAAAATAATAAATTGCTTTTCCCTGGGTATTGAGCTTGTAACAACAAACGGAGTTGTGCCCAGTGTAAAAAGCGGTCTCTTGTGGACTTAGCGTTGTCTGTAACCAGGGCTCAGTTTCACAGCACTGCTAAGCATATGATTTTACACATGCACGTAGACTCCATAATTTCATTGGTGACCGTAAGCAGTAACATGGCAAAAGGCATGCTTACCTTGGAGGAAAAATTTGTTTCACGTAGTAACAACACATTGGAAATCTCTATGCATGTGCCAACCAGGTCAAGCATTGCCATGTAATGGTGCTTAAAGGTAGCAAATTTTTCCGCTGTAGTGAGCAGGATTTTTTGGCCAACTGCTAAGCAGCCCTGCGAAATTGGGCCCAGACTAGCATCTTGCTCTTAGCAAGTTCAAGAAACTAACGCTACATATCCATGCAAAGTATGTAAAATGAGCTCTAAGAGCTAAAGACAAAGCACTCCCAACGCACTGATCTTATTCATATATTGGAGGCTGTTAAGCCAACAGGGCAATCTTGCAGAAATGCCAATGTCTCAGCACCACTACTGAAAACAGTAGTCTGCAAATGGGCACAATTTTAATGGAGCCGAAAAACTTCTGCTCCCAGCATGATTATTCACTGCTCTGCAATTCTCTCCGCTGCCCACATCTGCAGCCTCCTCGATCATGAATAAGATCACCGCATCAGAGATTGCCCAGAGCCGCTACAGATTCTAAAGGAAATCAAAACAGCAGCACAAGCCGTCTAGCAGACCTTGTTCTTCCTCTTCTGCAGGTGGACCCATCGCTGCCTGCATCTCGGCCGGTGTTTTCTTCTTCCGAGAGATCCGACCGGCACTGTCCGCTTCCGGGTCCTCTTTCTCCTTTTTCTTCAAACCGTACTTTTTTTTGGGGGGGGGGAGAGAGACGGAAGAGAGGTAAAAAGTGGGACAGAACACTGGCGGATGAAGGCAAGGGAGAACGGGGAACATCAACCCATCCCCCGAAAAGGAACTCTTTGTGTATTTGTTCTTGAAATTGTATTTATTGAAATTGTTCCACTTTCTTTCCTTCCCAAAAAGTTGAACTTCCTGAATTTGAATCCCCTGAACCTGAGTTCCTGATCTACCCTTGGTACAGAACGTTAATGGGTCATTCCATGAGGTTGGGGCACAATTTGTGACGTTGTCAGTTGTTACATAGGTTCTGTAAAAATGAAAAGCTATTTCCCTGCGTGTGGATTCCAAATCGACATTGTTATACATTTTCCAAAGCTGAATACAGAGGTGTGCATTATTTCGACAGAGTAAATGACCTACTCTACAGGTCATGACAAGTGGTAAAAGTTTTGGATATAACAAGGACACCGTCACAAATTGGGCCCCAGCCTCATGGAATGACCCACATAGAACACAGAAAGGTGACGTGATAGTTGTTCTGCAAAGTTACGCCAGAATACCAGAGATCTAGCATTTAGTATCAAATGCGTGTACCCCTCCTCTCTTCACAACTTATGTTTTCATCTACGTACCTTTGCACATATCAAGGTTCAAAGCTAAGTGTGGAAACCTTCTACAGTGAGCAAAGGAAGGAGGTTGCAAGCCCAAATGTCATGCCGTGTTTACTTTTTGCGACTGGTTCACAGATGACGTTTGCTTAGAACATAAACTTGCTAAGCAGTGCTTTCTGCTTAAGAGTAGTTACACCAATTCTTTCCTCCTAAGACCCATGGATAACTACCCAAATAAAATGTATGCACTGCTTGTGATGTTGTAAACTTGTATTTTTCAAGCAAGGAATAACTGCCCACACCAAGAGGCAGTGCACAAGGCATTTATGTGTTTATGGAAACCAGAAACCTGGATACAAAATGGCCTCTGCATGCTGCAGTGCATGCAGTCCATAGGCCAATAAGTTAAGTGCAACAGTGCATTGTAAAGCCATTTTGTCTCCAAACAAGACATGCAGTTGTGTCAAAATCCTCCTCCTTTCTGCATTTTGTTCCTCCTTTGTGGCCTTCGCAGGCCTGCATACAGTACATACACCTACCTTGTCTCGTATTCTCTGCCTCTCCACCTCACGCTCTGCCTCCATCTTCTCGTGCCGCGCCTTGCGCTCATTCTCTTGCTCCTGCCGCTGCTCCTCAATCAGCTGGGCCTGCTCCGCCTCCTCCTCCGTCATCTCTTTGCCTCCCAGGTTGCCCAGCTCCCCTGGAAGGAGATCAGGGAAGATGTCAGATCAGGTACAAACGGGGTCATGACAGAAGTTCACTTCTCCAGAAGAAAGACAATTCCCGAGGGGGGAGTTCTCTGCTCAAATGCTGTTACAGAGGTTACGGAATGTTCCAAATGCCTTGCAAAGTGAATCTTGACTCCTGAGGAATATCCATGTACTGGTAAAAATCCTGATGATCATTTTTTGTAGACGATGACAAACTGTAAACATACGCTTACATGTAGGTAACCCAGAAAACTGACACAGTGGGGGAAGGAAACCAAAACAGCCAAAAATCATCTGAACTTGAACTGGGGATTGCTAAGAAGAGGCACAGAATATCTTTTAAACAACAAACAAACAAAAAAACCAAAGGACAATAGAAATACTGGTTGGAGTAATACAACAAAGATCCATCCGCTGGCAACATTATAAAAAACAAACCAAACGGACAAATTAATTCACTTCTTCCATTGGTATCGTACATCTTGTAAATATTGCAAGCATTGTGGAATGATGTGGAAATTACCTTAAAAAGGAATGTTCAAGAAAATAATTGCAGGATCTGCAGTATTAAAACGGGTTTATAGCAAAGCGTCTGGTTGCACTCTTCAAAACCAAACTATTCCTCAGAGATAAGTAAGAATGTTCAACCTCTCCGTACAAACATTGTATACATGTCTATCGGCTCCCAGCTGATTTCGGCAGTAAATCTGTTGGTGTCACACTTCCAGTCCTTTGATATCTTTGCCACATTTTAAGTGATACTCTTGTCTTTGAAATGGCAGCATGTGAGAAAGAAATACCAAATCTGGCTTTCCAACATTCACTATATCTACAAATTTTAAATTACATGGTATACATGTTTTTGATTGATGGTTACAAGAATAACCTCTACATGCAAATTCAACTGATTACGGGCAACGGCCAATGTGAGGAGAACAAAAGAGAACACAATAGCGACAGAGGTTGACAATATTAATTTTTAAATAGTTTGGCAGATGCTGATGTGTGATATTGCCAGAAGCGATGACACACGCGACTTGATTCGGCAAAATGAGTCTTAAGTCCACTTCTATCAGTCCACTGTGTTTTGGTTTGCATTTGCATCAGAAAGGTGATTGAAGCACATTTTGCTGGGGCTAGCTGGGGCGTGTTTGTCTGTGGCTACATGTACATGTACAGGTACATGTATACATGTGCATTATGTTCTAGCATTCAAGGCATAAGTCTGTTCTGCTATGTTCCACGTAGTTTTTCCATTTTTTACATACAACTGTCAAAACGACATGTAGATGTGGCATTTACTTTGCCAATGTGCATTAATGTACATGTATATATGGCTAGCACAAATACACGTGTACATGCCCATACATTTGGAAATAAACAATCTCCCTATAAGCAATTTCATATGCGCCTCATAAGAGATCAGTATTTACAAATCCATGTGCAGGTCTCATGAATTTAATAAAATTGTCACAGGGAAAACATTGACGTTATGGTAAATCTACTTAAAATTTGAATAAGAATCTAGAATGCCAGTATGGTGGACTGGCGCACTCATGCATCAACCATCAAAAGGCTCTTTAATACTCGAAGGATCAATATACACAAACGGTCCTTTGTTGTGTTTCGGCAGCGAAACACTACAAATGAGATGCGAGCAGACCCCCAAATGTGCCGTGCATGCTGTCCATGTAATTAGCAATATCAGGGATGTCGCTGGGAGTGATGTTCAATGGGTGCACGCATGCATGCATTATGGCCCCATGACGATAATGCGTGTGCCATACGTGAAGGTGGTTCTGGGGGCCAACTCAAACACATATATACCGGTATACTGTAAGCATGTTACAACTGTTCAACCAGTTTGTTTAGTATACAATTATATGCTTATTATTTGAGAAAACTGGGGACAAGAACTCCACCAAGTTTAAGCAGTTCAAAAGCCACTGGTCCCTTACTGAAATATGACAATTCCCATGAATGGGAATTAATTCTTTTACAAAAATTCTGTGAAAATGCTGTGCCATTCAAGTAACTGGAGATTTTCTCTGCTGCTGTACTAGATCAAAATACGGATAAAAAATAAATCAAAGGCCTGCAGTACCGAAGGAGAACACAAAGTGAAAAATCACACTATTTGGGCAGACAAGACATATATGACATAGCAAAAAAAAAAAAAAAAAAAAGGGTTCTTTTTACTCTCAACATATTTACATTGGTTCTCTTGCTTTCCTGATTCAGAAATGGTTATTCAAAACAAACCCCCCAAAATGCTTATACCAGTTTCTCGAGTCCCTAGATAATGCTGTTTATCCAAGGGAATGTACTGGCATTTCAAGGGATGTCTTCTAAAATATGCTTCTATATATTTGGCCAAAAAACATGGTCTGAAGGGGGGGTTGAAAAAAGAGAAAAATTCTCCTGGAAAACTTTCCCCTCACTTACAGAGGCAATCTAAATGGTAATGAAGCAAGTTACATTTATTCAAGCGGATGACTGAGATGCCTACAATTTAGTGGTCCATCCTAACAGATGAAGTATTTCGTGGCATACCAACAAATGCCACTGAAGTGAAGGGCCGGAAGCATGCGATATCTTCCTGATTATATCTGCCTGATTACTTCAACATTTCTTGGTGAGTGGTGGTCAGTGGCATATGTGGGATATTTTCTCCAGGGGGGAGGGGGTTTCAGGAAAAAAACAAATGGACATGCAAGTTTCAAAACTGGAAGATTCATAGTAAATATAGTACAATTTTTGTTTGTTTGTTTGTTTGTTGGGGTGTTTGTTTGTTTGTTGGGGTGTTGGGGTTGTTTGTTTGTTTGTTTGTTGGGGTGTGGGGGTGTTTGTTTGTTTGTTTGTTTGTTGGGGTGTTGGGGTGTTTGTTTGTTTGTTTCTTTTGAAGTTTAGTACACTGATTTCCATTTTTTTTTAAAGCCATTTACATGTACGTCTAATCTTTTTGATATACACACATGAGCTTTGTCTTACACCTTTTGGTGAATGGGGGTGGTATGGTGGCTCCCCTTCCCCACTCCATCAAAATCAAAACCCCGCTGGTGCTGACAGTAACAGATCTTCAAACAAATCAAGAGCTAAATACATACATTTCACCTGTTTGGGTGAGAGACAAAATTTATGGTATCCAAGGTTAATAATGGGCCGAGTTTTATACAAGAGGTAATACAATACAGAGTCCATAAAATAAGTAAATAAAAAAACAGATCTCTGGATGAATTTGTAGTCTCAAAGGGAAAACAAATGTTGTTGACATATGAAGCAGATAACTTGTAAGAACAGGCCAGGGGAGGGAGGATTGAATCTGCATAAACACCAGCAGGCTCTGACGATGCCGTTGTGGGTGCAGAACATGTTATGTCTCACTCCGCAGGAAGCGCGGGTGCTGCACAACAGAATCCATGGATAATTGCATTTACCATTGCGCGATACACAGTAGGAGGTGGTCCGAGTCATCAACATCCCACGATGCAGTGCCGAACAGGGATCAGCATGGTAAGGCAAGCCCCCCAGATGGATAACGCGTGCACACAGACACAAAAACAGTTAGGCGACAGGGCTGCCTCGCCCAGGGTATAGGCAGCGGCTACGTTTCAGAGAGGGATTGACTCCCCACAAAGGGGACATAAACTGCATAATGGCGGCCTGACAATGGCGGGGCTTGCACCGGGTAACGGATGCCATGAGGCTAGCGCGTTTAGAATTACGGGATTCAATTCACTATTCATTGGGTAGAACCTAACAAGGCAGGTTGGAAATCTTGAAAATAACTGTGCACGTATTATGGTCCCACCTTATTGACCCATGATAAAATTAATTCAGTCATCACAGCTTCATGAAGGCTGAGAGATCAAATACATGCTTTGATCTAGGCCTCTTTTAGCATTTTCCATCAAACCCTATGGCCCGGCTATTCTAACACATATGATCCAAATACTGAGGCAGTCACATGTAAAAACTCATCATCCAAATTATTTCAATGCACATGTAGAACTATGACTTTCCACAAAATGGCAAAATGCAGACATATGTGCACCATTAAGTAGTGTTCTTTACATGGGACGTGTGAAGTAAGAGGTAACATTTCACAATCAATTTCCTGCTGCAACGAAAATGTACGGTGCTTTGGGGGGCAGAAGTAATTAGCGGAGAAAGGCTAATACCTAGGGGAATGTTCAGTGCAGCCAATTTATTATTCTTGGAGCAAGGCAACCTCAAGAGAATAATGTCCTCTCTTTTCTCTTCCACCATCAGGGGATTTTAGAGGTCTACTCCTAAAATCCGAACTCCTAAAGTACAATAATTAGCAGAGAAACCATTAGGAATTTTGCTTTCTACAACACCTAAAGGTCCCAGGTTTTTACTTCTTTTCCCCGAATGAAAAGGAGTGGAAAAAACGTTTTTATTAGGCGAGATCCATTTCTTGTAAGCTCCTAGACTGAGAAAATTATATAATCCGGGCAACAATTTCATGGAACTCTTTCACAAATGACGGCTTGGCAAATTTATGTGATAAGGAAAATGCAGTCAGGCACCACTTTAAAATGCTATACAGTACAACATAAATTTTTGAATGGTAACTGATCTCCACTAAGTGAATAATTTCTGTGCTAAGCATGTGTACAAAATATACCCATATACTTCCTACGGGTATGTACAGAACCTGTATCATGGATGATACTGTTCTCATTAAACTTGAAGTCCTTTTGAAAATGAATGTGTGAATTGCAACAGAAGCCACATCGCCACAAAATTAAATACGGATTGATTGTTTTTTTTTTGTACTGTACATACTAGAATTGAAGCATCAAAGCAGCACATGCTGCTGAGTTGAGCTTGAATCTCTAAACACTCTGCACAGTGAATTACACAGACCTTCCAGCACACACACAGCAACTAATTTCAATAGTCTGTATTGATTAACAGCAGACCCATATCAACTGAAAAGGCCTGGGTAGTGAGCAGCACAGGCAAGAGAAATGGTTGACATCCAACGTCAGTCTGCTGAATAGCCAGTGTAAATAAAATGATAAAAAAGTGACGATAGATGCGGGGAACACATGTAGCAAATACATTGACAAACCCAGGGCGTGATATTAAGATTTGTCTGAATAGAGCTGATTTATGAAAATAGTAAATAGAGTCTCCAAACGAACTGTGCAATATGTGTACGGTAGACGACAAGTCAACACATTGATTTGGAACATTTTAGTTTCACTTTGACATTTTATCTGATTGCACAAAAAATAAACCCTCTGAAATCACTTTTGTGGTGTTTTTTTTCCCAATCTATCATTACATACATCAGTACTGTGCCAGGTAACTTAATTTTGGTGTTTTTACATGCAAGCAAAACACCAACGATAAAAGAAATGGTTGACTAGAATTTCATTCTGGAACAGAAGGAAAAAAAATTAACATCGAAAATGTCAAGAGGGAGAACCGCACCTCGCTTGGCCTGGTTCAGTTTGCAAATTCGGTGGATGGATTTCAAAGCACACACCAACACAGAGACCATGGCAGTGAGATTTCGTGGGTGTCTTGTAGAAGTGCAGATGACATTCCAAATTAAGTACCACATACATACATGTATTCCGATAGCTGTTCTTATGAATACATGTAAACAGAATCAAAAGCATTGCAATTGTTTAAATTTATTCTTAAATCCAGTACAGCAGAGATGGCCATCTGGATATTTCAGTTTAAGTACAGGAACATTTATTAACATCTTAATTTTGGAGAATGATTAGAACACACAGCACAAGTTGGTTCCCGATATCTTGTTGACTTCTTTCTTTCTCCTTTTTTTTTCAAACGAGGCAACATTCCCAGAATGGTTTGGTAGTGAAATATCAATCACTGAAACACATGCATTTAAACGTGTGGGTGGACAGGTGAAAAGGAACGAACATGTATTATTGTGTCCGCGGATCACGGACACTTTTCACAAACCTGGCAACGCTCACAAGAGCCTTCTGATTAAAACCCAGGGGGAACCCCCACAGGGACAAAAAGGACTTGCATGTTTTCCACTAATTATTTTCCCCTTATTTGAACTGTTTCTTTCAGAAAATAGGCCTACGTGAATATTACACAGCTGCTCCACAGAAAAAAATAATGCTTAGCCACAGAAAAGACTCCTGTAGAGAGCCTGTCAGAAATCCAAAGCAAGTTGTATCTATTTATATTTGTCCTTCCGTTTTGTTCTCAACTCCATTTTAAACATGCTTAAAATGTAAAATTTGCATCGTAATGCACATCTGTATTTTTATTCACAGCCACAGTATTTGACATTTTTAAGGCTTTCGGGAAGAGGTATTTATGTGAACTATCTTCAGTTCCAGGCACGTCTTGCTTTTGTCCTTCCATTTGGGTATACATGTACTTACACATTTTATTATTCCACTGTTTTCATGCTGAATACATACATGTAACAAAAATAAGAGTTTTAGATGTACATACGCTCTTTTCTTTCTGACGGTAATATTTTAGTGATGCAAAACTTGCTTGAATTGTAGTTAGTTGTTCTATATACAAATACATGTACATATTTGTTCATGCATACTGCTTGTTACACAGGTGTTTAGCTTACTCATAGATCCAAACATTTACATTTATCAAAAGAGTCAAAAGAGTGCATATATGTGAACGATTTTGATTGTGGAAATACTTCAAGGACAGATGACAGACAAGCATGCAAAACATACTAAAATAGTCGGTAAGTGGAAGGAAAAAAGCAGGTAAGGTTATAATGCAAACTGCAGAAAAACAGTAACTGTACAGATCTCAGCCAATCATAAGATGGGTAACACTGACCCAATCTAAGGACGACCTATTGGACATCAATGGGCAATCCTTGATTCTGGCATGTTGCCTTCTCCTGTGCTGCTTTGGAATGTATTTTGGGCATTCCATAGTTTTCTGCCTGTGTGAATGACCACACATCTGATGCCTTTTATAGCAGAATTCCTATTTTTGGACTCTTGTGTTTTTTTTGGGGGGGGGGTTAGGATTAATTTTAGGATTAGCTTGATCATTTTAAGATTGATTCTTCATGCCTGGTACACCAGTGAACAGTCGCAAATACACATGTGGAGTTACTGATTCCCAAAAAGTGTTAGTACACGCAAACACCATCATATTGCTTGATATTTCACAATTTTAAGATGAAAGTGTGGGTGAAATCTGTTGAATCAAGTTGAGATCTCCAATCAGCAGGCAGCTCAAGGTGGGACCTGCCTGACATGTGGGTGAAATCTGTTGAATTGAGTTGAGATCTCCAATCAGCAGGCAGCTCCGGGTGGGACCTGCCTGACAACTTACCAATCAATGAAGCCATTTTGGCCGGTAACCCAAACTACTGATGCTACAAGACCACAAAGCAGTGGCTTGGCAGCAGTCAACGGAGCAAGGTTGAGGCTCCTCACTACGCAGCTTTAGGGAAAACACACCACAAGAATCAAGGATTACCACTTTAACAGTAAAAAAAAAAACTGATTTTTTCCTTTACCTTTAACACTATCTAACTTATTCCCCAAAATCATCTTCGCCGCCATGCCTGCCATCTTGGGAAATTAAAGGACGTGTACGTGTCGATGCACAGACGGGCGTGATTCCGGATCAGGATTTCTGCTGAGGGGTCCTCAGTCCAGTGCAAGGACCAAAAAAAGGAATTACCGTGCTGGAGTCTTGAGAGACTTGGCCAGGGGACCTCTGAGGCAATTTCTAGGATCTGGAAAGGAACAGGGGAAGGAGACGCAGGTTGAAAACTGACAAATCCTGTAAATTGAAAGTGGGGCTCATCTCAAGTGCATAATCCCTTGCCATAACAGGAGCGACATGGAAAGTTCAATCTCCTGGCCTGTGAATGGTGTGTTGTAAAATAATCCAACGTGACAGTCAAGGACCAAAAATAAAAGTTTTGGTAACTTGACATTAATCCCCTCCAAATTTTTATTTTTTGGAGAGGATGAATCAAAGATTTGCTGAACTGATAAATTTTGTTCATCAAAAAAACAAAAAGTAAAAAAAAAAATAATAAATAAAACACATAAAATCAGCCCAATGTTCGGTCTTTTTCATTTCATTAACTGATAACCTTTTAAAGTTTGCTTCAAACATAATATTTGGATGGGAGAAGAAAAAGCAATTACTGTGAATTCATGGAAAAGACCTGCCAAATTATCTACGTGTGGGTGGGAAATGATGTGGGTAGGAAAAAAAATCCAACTTTTTAAACCCTGTGTTAGTGAATCGACTATGTTCATTTCTGAGAGCCATAAAGAGCACTACTTCGTTACCTGTGTTAAATTACTGAAGTTTCCTTACCCAGTTTAATTCACTAGAAGTCAAGTTTGTTTTCTTAAAATACATCCTCGGTTACTGGCTAAAATGTGTCAAACGAAGGTCAAGCTAACAATACACATGTACAAGCATGTGGAGGCAACAAATCCAAGCATTTTTAGTTTTTTAGTATTGATTTTGATGATGGTACATGTAGGTTATATTTATTTATCTATATTTTGATGTACAGCGCCTGGGAGCAGCTTGATGGATTGGGCGCTTTATAAATGTCAATTATTATTATTATTATTATTATCCAGATGGGTCAGATAGCCATGAATTCCCAATTTTTAAATTTTTTTTCAGCCTAAGTAATACTGCCTAATATTCTCTGCTTAACTATTTCATAAAATTCAGCCTAATCCCCACAAGCAAGCATGGAATCTATTACTGCACATTAGAACACTCCATCATGCACAGTACACAAGTTCTCATAAATTCATGATTAAATTTATGGAACTGTATTTGAAGAAAAAGTGCAGTCGTGCTGCCTTGCACATAATGGAGTGATGTTGGCTTTTACTATTGTTTACAAATACTCTAAATATGAAGGTTCTTTTATAAATGATTCACACACAAAAAAAGGAAGAAAAAATGTCAGAAAATGATAATAAATGAACTGGCATTGGGTCTATGATTAAAATACCTCAACATCGAAATGTTTGGCATTTTTCAAGTACATGTACTTTCAGCCAACCAAGTGCTGAAAACCATTTAAAATCAACTGTTTTAATTTTCACTGCTATGATATCTTTGCCGTACTGGTAGTTTCCAGTGACATTTAATGTCAATTTCATAAAAAAATATGGGACGAATTAAACTTCTACAGGCTGGCAACACAATATATGTACATGTATCTTCAATGTTTAAACAGTCAAACTGCAAAGATGTCTTGCATTGTACTGCCTTTGATAATAAGTAATCCATGCATTTTGGCAATTTATAAGTTCCTAATTCTGAAGAGAAATAGTACACTGGTTTTAAACGTGATTCAATGAGGTTTTCTTTATTACGTATTCATAAATATCCGGGACAGTTTTTCTATTCCTATTAGTCGAAACGTGTCACATGACTGTGTACATTAATGCCCGCTGAGAAGTGATACTGCCCACTGCGTAAATCACATACTTACACATGGACACGAGACAGTGTAATCGGGTCTGATTGGTCAAGAGTCAGTGTGCATGTGACATGCCATGCGCATGCCAAGTTCTTTGAAAGGGATTCTATTGGACGACTTTCAAAAGGAATACACCAAAAAATGGACGGGGGTGTTTGGGAAAATGAAAGAAAAGTTTTAGAAAAAAATCATTGGAAATCCACTGTATGTTGATTTCGTTTGACTCTCTGAATAAAGGGCATTTATAAATGGGAATAAATATGTACCCGGCCAATTTTAGACTGATGTTTAGGACCGGCTCAGGAGAACGAACGCTGATAATGCTGTGTCCATTCTCCTGAACAGGTCTTAAAAGCACAGTTAAGACAAGCCAAGCACATATTTATTCCCTTAATTATAAACTCTAGTTTCTCTCTGGGTGGGAATGGATAGTAGTCCAGTGCAAGTACATGTATACTGTCCAATTTTCCAAACAGACATTTCTTTTCTGATTTTAAAGCAAGATTAAAAAAAAAGAGCCCTAGCAGCATCATTGCCAGTATCATCTTCACCATCTTTTACCATGGTGACACATCAATCTACAAGACCTGAGCAAGAGGATCACCATTTTAACCATGATTTTCACCACAGTGACCTCCACAACATTAATCATCGCCATGACCACCACCACATCACAGAGACATGTGGCCTAGAGGTTAGGGTTTGTAGCTTTCGATCATAAGGCCGGGGGTTCAAATTCTTGCAGGTGGTTATATGGTGTGGCATTGGGCAAGTCACCTCAACCCAATGTGCCTCTCTCCACCCAGGCATACACATGAACCCGTGAGGGGAGGTATAGTTATTATCCTTAGCCATCTGTGCATAATATAGCAGCGGCAGGCTGGTATACTCCCCAGGGAACCGAGATGGTCTCAGGAATGCTCAGGAGTCGTGAGCCCAATGAGCAGGGATAATGGAAATAAAATTATCGGAAAGAGTTCCACATACGGCACAGACAACACTAATTTTCCCTAAACATCTCTAAACAGCCATTGGGGGATGAAAACAATCCTAAAATGTGAAATCAAGCTAGGGAAATTCTCAAGCATCTACTTAGAAAACAAGTTTTTTCAGACAAGTCTCACAGGTTTGTGCAAAGGGGCATCAAGTGTTTTCCGTATGTGGAACTCTTTCCAAATTATCTGTGCCTTTGAATAACTGACCTTGTTAGATACTAATTACTACATGTATGAGCCTTTATAAATGCTTGGATATTATATATCATCATATCACACCACTATTTCTTCATCTTCCTATCCTCCTGACCTCCCACATCACCAACATCACCAACAGCATATGTCTCTCATGATCATTAATGTCAAATTCAGGGTTTGTTCAAATCGTTGTCGTGCTACCTAATCCAACCATTGAGCAAAGACCCAACCAGCCGTGGTCCAGGCATTATATTTGGTTGGGCCATGTTCCAGCAAAATGTAAACAATGGGATTAGACCGGACCTAGGTCCTCATGGAATGTACACGGCATACGCGGTGCGTGCACGGTGCGAGCGTTCATCCCAGACCCCCACTCCACAGTCGCTTTCCCGGGCACCCCCGGCCGGCCCCTCGCATTGCCAGACCCTACTCACCGATTTGTAAGAATCTGCACTCAGCCTCGTCCGATCCGAACAGCTGCAAACCTCTGCCGTGCCGGTCAGATCCTCCACAGCTTAAAGACTTGCAGAAGACCCGTTCAGCATCCCTTCATCATCAAGCACTTATCCGGTCAGATACAAGGGAAAATGGGTCCGACTGCGCTCACGTTCTCGACGTGTCGATCGCTACCCAATGTGTATGCAGGAATTACAATGGCAATATGCACGCCGTGTACTCACGTACGTCCGGCCATGTACACCCATACGATCACGACACGACGGTTCGCGGGTTATGTTGTTGACGTACACAAAAATTGGAAGCGTGACTTGGTCAATGACCCCGGCTCTTCCGGTTTGAAATGACGTCATGCAAAGTTATCAGAATTTTTAAAATTAATTAGCCGATATAATATTGTTCCAACAGACAATCGTCATTGATATATAGTGAACTGTTTCTGGGTTTATTATCAGCATATTTTGCTCTTTAAGAGGAAATCATTACTGGGATATTGCCCGAAGTTTGTCTAGCCCATAGGGTCCGTAGTACCATGGGAGAGGGCCGGTTGGGCGGTGGAAAGGGGGCTTTAAAAAGTTGCTTGCTTGTCCTCAGAAAATCTGATATTTGTTTATCTTTCTTTCTCGTTTTTTTCTTCGTAGGAGCGTCCACACAGTGTTGGCGGCATAAAGAACTCTTTACGGGAACAAAAGGTGACTTCTCTGTCTTTGCGCTATGTGCATTCTCAAGTGCGTGTGCTACGAAATGTTCGAATGCTTTGGCGTGACATTTCCACTGAGCTTTTTAAAAAGGGGCACTGTGTATATTTGGATACATCTGACATCGCCCAACCCTGTATAAATATAAAAAACGCGACAAATAGGGTGTCAGTTACGAGGACCGTGCAGTCAACATAATCATATTTAATGGCTCAGAAGACTATATATTTCCATGATATTAAGAAAAAATCGCGAGCCCACGAGGAACTAACAGAGGGCGCTACACAATTTTATGGTGCCAAATACTTTGCCTTTTATGAAATTATATTTTCGTTATCAAAGTGGCTTCCCAATTAGATCTGCAATCAGTTTCAAGCATTTACCGTAGTTAAATGAAAAAAAGTACACTACGATGTGACATTATACGATAATTACCAGATGGAGCAGGAGATCCTCAGATCAGAGGTCTAAATTAAGAAAAGTGAAATCTGAGGCTGAATGCTGAAATGAAGCCGTGATTTCAGAAAGAACTCAGCGCACGAAGCTTCTGAAGATGCAGACTGCTAAGATGGCTGCTGCTGAAGTGGACTCGTACTGTTCTGATGCAGACAGCGACGTGCCATTTGTTCTCTATCGCGACAGGCCAGACTGGAAGGACGTGGAAGCGGTGCCGCAAAACGACGGGCCGAATCCGGTGGTCCAAATATCCTATTCTGACAAGTGTGAGTTTATAGTGACCCAAATGGTGTCAATTTCCGCCGAAACCCGTGCCCAATTTCCGGACACTCGTGTTTGCCAATTTTTCTGCACCATCCAAATTAATTAGGCCATAGCCATGATAACCGGTGTCACGGATGTGAAGTTAGTTACTTATTCCTCGTTTGACGTTCGACATTCAGTGTTACAGAAGTTCAAGTAACAGATATTCAGCGTTGAGTAAGTAACCCTTGGATGGGACACACTAAACAAAAGTTGGGACCTACGCCGAGACATGCTAGAGCAGAAGAAAAAAGCAAAGATTATGTGCTCCAATAATATAATGTATAAGATGGTGAATGGCCTGGGCGGCTTTACTGTCACTTTGCCCCATTTCCTCATTGCCCCCCGTCCGTGCTCGAGTGTGTTACAACAAGCCTCTTCTAAAAATGGGCAAGAGAGGAGTTCCACAAATGACATGGAATTATACATGTATATGAAACTCGACAGTATTCACTAAATTAACCCCAACCCTCCTCAATCCTCCAACAGGTGAAGGATTGAGGAGGGTTAGGGTTAATGTCGACTGCGTTGTCCATGGTGAATTAATACATATGTTTGGACTAGCATAGGGTTTATTTCTCATCCTCTTGAAGTTTATTTCAAAGCAATACACAATTCTGCACATATCCTTCTGGTAATTGTCGATGCATCCAAACAGCTGTGCCCCGGTGATCAGATGAACCTCGGCGCACCACAGCAGGAATTTTTGTGGAAATGCGCTTGCTTCATATAGAGGAAAACAACCTAAAACCAGAAAATACCTGTACACACATAGACAAGAAACTAAGTTTTGTGAATTAACTTGTTAGGTCTTGCAACATCCTTTTTTAGATGCGTGAGGTCACGTACATGTACGGTCACTGCGGCATGAATAGACTGGTTGCCACACTCCATCATGCATCATCACACATTCTCTTGCATGGGTGCAGCGCGGCAGGAACCAGTGCTTTGCGCAGGTATTTTTACCACAGCTTGATGACATGCTGTCACTTTCTGATGCACTGTCACTTTCTGATGGTTGATAGACCACCGTAGGGAAATTTAGCTATGGATTTTGATTGCATGTTGGCATGGTTAACGGCTATTCCTCTTTCTCTGTCACATTACAGTCCGAGATGTCTATGATTATTTTCGTGCCGTCATCAGGAGCGATGAGCGCAGTGAGCGGGCTCTGCAACTGACGAAAGATGCCGCTGATCTGAACCCTGCCAATTATTCCGTCTGGTGAGAGTAAAACTGTGGAACACTCTTCAAAGCTGGAGGGAAAATAAGAAGCTATCTGTATCCATTCTTGGACCTGTGTAAAAGCGGACAACCGAAAGAAAGCCAAACAAAAAAATCAAGACCGACATAAGCTTATAGGGCAGTTATGTATTGAGAATATTTATTTGTAATTAACTCTTCAGTTATGGTGAAAGCCACAAGAAAAGTGCCAAATTGTTTGATTTTCTTCTGTAAAGGTCAGAGTTTTTGCCTACCATTGGCTGAACAAAATTTGACTGACCATCAGAACAAAGTCGATAGAATAATTCTAATATTGATTAAAAAAATGTGCATAGCTATCAGTGCTGTACTTGGTTTAATGGTGCTCTGTGGCAGGCACTACCGCCGTGTGCTCCTTCAGTCTCTCAAGAAGGACCTCTGGGAGGAGATGGGATTCATCAAGCAGGTCATTGAGGAACATCCAAAGAACTACCAAGTCTGGTAAGAGTCATTCAGCTCAGGATGGTTATTAGTTACAGTGACAAAAAGCAACAAAGAAATATCTTGCCGAGGCTTGGGTCGCTTTGTAAACTTGCACTCTCGTCAAATTCGGCCCAAAGACCGACCTTTGAGCATAGGTGGTCCCGATTTGTTGGTTGGTCACTTTGTTTTGTTTTGTCCAGGCACCACAGGCGGGTCCTTGTGGAGTGGCTCAACGACCCCTCGGAGGAGCTGGCCTTCACCGCCTCCATCCTGCGCGCCGACGCCAAGAACTACCACGCCTGGTCCCACCGCCAGTGGGTGCTGGGCGCCTACGAGCTGTGGGGGGAGGAGCTGTTGTTCGTGGACCGGCTCTTGGAGGACGACCTGAGGAACAACTCGGCCTGGAACCAGCGGTACTTTGTCATCAGCAACACGGGTGGCTTCATGGGCGAGGTCTTGGCCAGAGAAGTTAAGTGAGTACATGTATAAGAGAATGTTGCAGTCGGATGCTTCAAAAGGTACCTGTAAGTCTTCAAAGTTACATCACAGGAGCCCCAGACCCAATAATGCATGAGCTATTTATGTGAACTGTACTGAAGGCATTCCTTCATCGTTGTTCATCCTCTGTATACGAGAGTGCTTTTCCACAACCAGTGAAAAAATATGTATGAAATACATACGAAGTACTATACTGCAAAACTCTTCTTAAACTTGAGCAGAAAAACGATTATTAAATTGTCATTTTTCCCTTTTCGAATGCAGGAATTAGATTATTTAGAGGTATGGCATGAAACACAGTTAAAGGAGCTACTCAGGTTGGCTGTGTTTCCAATTGTATCGCCACCTAAACACCACCAAAACGCGGTGTTTGGTGAGCTTGGTGGCCGTATTACTGGAGTCAAATTGTGGAACATTGATGTATCAATTTGTGTTGCCATCAAAAATTGATGGCAGAAATATTTCTGTCCGTTTGTCACTGAAAGGGAAACGACTTCATCTTTACTTTCTTGCCAGAAAACTGTTCTTTGGTCTTAATCCAACTACACGTTTACATGCCACATGCTCATACATAAAACAGGTTATTGAATGTTCAAGTAACGACAGAAATCTTCAACGAACTGGGAAATACTGCCAAAGTCACGATAACTTACTGGCCTCCTTGCTTTGACCATTTTCTGAAATACCACCTCATTCTTTAATACTTTTTATGAATTGTTTTTTTGTTTTTCTGACAGGTACACGCAAGACATGATCAACAAGGCTCCCAACAACGAAAGCGCATGGAATTACCTCCGAGGGTAGGTATTGGAATAAAAAATATTGGAGGAACAGAAGGAAATGCTGCAGTTGGTTGCAAACGTGACACTTTGTAGACATTCATGTCCAAGAGACAGTTTGTATGTGTACTGGGCATTACAATATGATTATTGCATTGATAGTCTACAAGAGAATTGAATATTTACAAATACATTCCTCAATTACTGATTGGTCACAAATCGATGATTAAAGTGAAGGCTCATTTACTCAGACATGCACGACCTCCTTTGTGCTTGTTAGAGACAAATAAAGAAGCTCTAGGATGCATTGTTACAAGATTTCAATCGACAAGTCTTGTATCCCGACTCGCTAGTGCCGTTGCCTTTGCCGTTCTCAGGGTGCTCGCGGATACCAGCATGAACGACTTCCCCGGGTTGTCCGACTATTGCCAGGGAATGTTTGACGGCAACATCCGGTCGCCGTACCTGCTGGGCTTCATCATCGAAATGCAGGAGGAGTTACTGGAAGAAGGAAAAGGAGACGAACAAGTCCTGCACAAGGCCACCGAGGTAATAGGATCACAAACAAGACTTTCGATTTTCCTTTTGATTTTTAACTCCATGGGAAAGGCCCTTCGTTGGGGTGGCCACAGTAATCGTCCATAACATTTCAGGGGCCTGTTTGTCCCTTTAAAAAGTGTATGGGGAATTTGAAGGGATTTATAGTTCCTGAAATGCATGTTTTCATACTTGGTGTATTTTTGTAAATTTTGATTGCCCGTGAAATGAAAGTAGAATGGATTATCCCCTTTTTTTGGAGAAGGGATTCCGTTGCACCAGAAACAAATTTTCAAAGGGGAATTTTACAGGTATTTTCATGGAAGTCTTCCTTTGATTTCCTTTCTCTCCTTGAAATTTTCCGAATTGAATTGATTCTTTCAGTGTGAAATATCAAAGTTAGAATCCACGAAATTTGAGAGCATGTAATAAAAACTGGCGACCAATTCTTCAAGCAATTTAGTTTAAGCCCTGCCACGTGACCAGTTAAAATACAACTTAAAACCAACTTTTTTGGGGGGTATCTTGTCCGTTTTTCCTTCCTCCAGTTGTGTGAGATGTTGGCTGAGCAGTTTGACCCAATCAGGCGCGAGTACTGGAACTACGTCTCGAGATCGCTGCAACTGCGATTTGGCAAAAGTCGTCCAGGGGAACCCGAGACCCATTGATCTCCTCAATTCCCATCCCCCCCGACACGAGGAGCGATGTTTTTTCTTAGCCAGGGACTCGACAACTCACAGTGGACTTTCATGTACAGAGCTACGGGACAAATCTGGACTGCCCTCGGACCACGGCGGTGCTTTCCTGAAATGTTCAAATTGTCCTTCATGTCCCAGTGTGGAAAGTGTACGTGCCTCTATCATGTAGTTGTCCTTGCTCATGCTCAAAAAGTGTCATGTAAAAAGTAAGTGCATTGTATTTTCAAATTGTACACCTGCTTCAGATGAAGCGACGTGAACATGTACGTTGTTGCTTCTACACTTGCATATACACCTGTATTGTAAAACGAGGATGTTGTTAAGTGTTTCGGGCATTTCCTTTTCTGTTGCCGAAATTTGTGTGTGCTTCCCTGCCAAGCGTATTGTTCGGGAGAGAGAAATGACTTTTTCAGGGATTGACAACTGTGCACATGCCCAAGCACGGACCACAAGTTCATCTGATTTGGATTTGTGACATGCCCTGAGAAAGAAGCCGAGAGAGCCTCGGTACACGCAGGCCGGTCTGCATTTAGACTAGTCCAGTGTTGGCAAAGTCCGATGGGCTTGGTAAAAGTTTTTAGAGCTTCAGTTAGCCATGTATCTGCATGCAAATTAAAGTTGCTTTCCCGGCAATATCCAAGAACCAGATATATCACTCATTGCCTATATTTTCTCCCTCTGTCGTACATTGATCAGAGCATTGCTTTGGGACTTTTCATCTGCAGTGCTCAACACATCTATGTGTCTTGGTTTGTCCTTTTTTTTTTCCCCCAAGAAATTTCGAGGATATTTGTGGTAATCTGTGGACGATGTGACCTCTTGAGCCAAAATGTTGGTTGTCACAAAATTACACGGACAAAATATGAATACACGTAAATGTATTATCAAATTTATATTCACTACTCCAAAAGTTTGAATCTAAATACCTTCGCGAAACTTTGACACAAAAAGACATTTTTGGAACGAGTTTGTTAACATATGAACACTTTATTGCCATGCTGATCAGACTATTTGTACATGATACTTAATTTAGGCTTGCACTGACCCATCAGAATACGAAATGAAGTATGGAAATGCAAGGCATCTGTTAAGAAAATCCACAGGTATCTGATTGGTTGGTAAATCCAAACTATAATACGCCATTGGCCAGTTTCTCTATCTTAGTGAAATACTTGGGCCTAGTCACCTCATAAAGACAGTGGTTGTCATTACAGTGGTTTCATTACAACAAGTGACAACTCTGTCATTTCATGTCTAGGTTCAAACTGCTAGAAAATAGGAAAGACATGTTTGGGAAATGGCAATCCTCAAATTTTGAAGGGACCAAAAAAAAATTTTCTGTGTGTTGTTGCTCTACCGTAGAGGAAAGAAGGATTCCTGTCCACTTACAACCAGAGAAATACTGCTCTGTTGGAGACTTACTCTTAAAATGTATTTATCAAACAAAACACTTTGGGGTATTAAAAGCAAAAGAAGTGTGACTTCATGAGTAGATACTCTGTCAATGTGGTTACTGTCGGTGAAAATGATAAGAAATTAAAGGTTTCACACTAAACATCATTGGTCGATGCATCTATTTCTACAGTACAACGAACTACAGTACAATACAAAAGCAGAAAAAAGTCGAGTAGATTGTTTTTTTAAAGGCCTGTAATATCATTTGACTCTGCCCAGAAATCTGGCAAGCAATGATGACAAACTATTCTCGGTTTCCAAGACCGGCATGATATAGAACACCCATGGCATGTTGTCGTATTGATGGGCAAAATCATAGGAACAGTTTCAGGAACGAGGACTGATGCCATGTTTTCATTTGGAACAAATAGGGTCATTACCACAGTTCAAATTTTAACACCAGACATTCCAGCTCCTGTACCAAAATCCCTTAATTCCCATGCGCAACTCCCTAAAGTTATGTCTTGGATTAACTCTGAACAACCAGAAAAATGACACTCTGATGTGAAATACAGAGACATCATTTGAAATTTAGGCTGCATCCTAATCTCTCGTCTAGAGCTAGGTCTAGGTCTTCGCTCCATTAGAAATGTGTGGAGACGCGTAGACAATAGACTTAGCCGTAGCTCTGGAAGCCCGTTTCGGACACGGCCTTAGTCACACTGTTGCTAATTTTTTTTTTCTGGACAAAATGTAAGATCTTCCAGCCCCATCGTGTTTTGTCCTTTTCAACTTGTGGTTTGTCTCCCTAAAACTCGATCTCATCAAATCACGATTATATACACTTCATTCAAGATCCAAATCAGTCTTGAGGAAAAAATACACAACCAAGCTACGATGGCTAAGTACGATTACACTGGTCATTTTAAATAAGAACACTTCTAAGGCTACGGAAGCTGACCTATTTCCATTGACTAAAAGATAAGAAAATGAATATGAAAATAAAACTTTACTCTCTCTATACTGATCGTTAAACTCGACAACTGAAAACAGATAGCCTTGAATCTGGCAAGAAAATGAAAATGCACTGAAGTTATGATCATAAGTTTCAATTAACTCTCTAGCACCAATAAATATACTATAAAATATTATATGTTAAACTATAAGGAGCTTGGGCAGTGTATGAGACTATGGCGGAGGGACCAAACATTTCTTTCGTGTTTTGTGCCCTGCGTTAAAGAGAGCTGTGCCGGCAAGGGGTCTCTGGGCTACACCTGAGTCAGGGTACCAAGGGTCCAATTACTTAACCATGCCAGCTGATATTTTGTGTATGCCTCGCAATGTATCATCCCTTTTCGAATCATCAAAAAAGTACCATGAATTTGCCTATATGCTCTAGCAAGAAACCAAAAGCAAACCAAGAAATTTCTGATATGTAGAAAGACGACACTAACAAATAAAATCTGTTCTATCATTTTCAATATATCTGGAAACTAACAGGTTTAAAGGTCTGAAGGGAAGAGATGTGAGGATTCCTAGGATTATAAAATCTCTGAAATATGAACAGTTGTAAAAAGCAGGTGGACATTTAGCTTACTGAACTGGACAAAAGTAAAAACAAAACCATTGAAAAATTAAACTGCTCAATGGAGCAAAAAGTCAGTTTTAAAAACCTTCATCTTTTCTTTGGCCTTGGTAATGTTTAATGTTTGTTCTTAAATTAACAGTGAACACCAGAAATATAATTAACTTTGTTCCTGAATTTGGTATCCAAAATGGCACAAAAGGATAAAAGTGATTCTATGAAAATATGCAGAAGCTGAACAAGTTACAACTTTGATTTGAAAAGGTAAGATTCTACGAGGTAACACTGAAAGTGTAAAAAATAATCTCGAGCCAATTACTTTTTAAGGCAAAATAGCCACCACGCGTCTGCTTCGTGAAATGTGCTAAAACTGACACTCCTGGAAAAAAATTTCACGAGGACAAAATCAATAGGAAAAAAAATCCATGGCAACTTTGGGCCATGGAAATGATGTGCTTTGATTTTTTTGGCACAGCACGGCCTACAATGTGACAAATTTCCATTCTCTTGGAAAATTAAAAAAAAAAATGACCAAAAAGTAGGCCTCCAATTCCTTCCGGTCAAATCTTCAGAATGTGATGAACTTACGGTCCAATCGGTATCAGATATTTTTTCCTCACCAGTTTGTCAGCGTTTCCGATCTATCTTCTTGAGAAATGCGGAGCTATAAATGCACAACTTCTAAAGTGCAGACAAATTTTGCTTGGCTCAAAAAGAAAAACCACACCCAACTGGTCAACACTTTATAAAAATTACACACAAGTTTCTAATTGGGGCCCAATTGCATGGAACTGCCCGACTGAGAAATTCTGCTTCCGAAATTTATACCCTCAACATGAAAAACAACTGACAACCATACACCAGCGATACAAACCGTAGAACATTTTGGCTGGCAACATATGCTTACTTGGTCCGTTTGTAGCGCTCGGATTTGAAACCGGCCACAATTTTCAACTCAAATGGTGTTTTAATCAAACATATTTTCAACCCAGCAGTTCCACGATATTACCAATTATCCCTGTGAGCGCGAGTGGAACACTGACAGGTTGCGTCCGAATCCAGTATACCATAAGGTTGAATGTGTAAGCAGTACGTGAGATGGAGATGCAGTACATTATTCAAAGTTCCTCTAATCCAAGTGGAATAACCAATTCAATTTGCTTCACATGTGCTACTTGTGGACTCATTGGGCAGCGCTGTTTTGCTCAAGGGAGGGACTGCATTTTTAAATGTAGAGCCATTTCTGATTATGAAAATATGGCAAACATTTAAGAACAGGACACGAAACCTCACACTCTCTTGACACAAGGGGCGGCGTAACCGTCCTGTAAGTTGGGCTGCTGGTGCTTGGCCAGGAGCTGCTGAATGAGCAGTACGTTCTGGGTCAGCTCTCCCTGGCAGGGGAAGCGGTGGTGGTACAGGCAGTCCAGGATGCGACGCGCCTGGCCCCAGCGCTGGCCGTTACAGCACAGCAGGGCACAGCTGACGCCCAGACAGGACAGGGTCTGCTTCAAGGTGTTGGTGGCGGGATCGCTGACTGCAGTGGGGCGAGAACAAAAAGGGGGAACAACAGAGTGAGAAATTGAAGATAGGAAAGTGACAATCTCTTCTACGTGGCCGTGCAGGACAAGAACAGAGTGGAACAAACTGAGCACACTGCCAAACTAATCTGTTCTTGAACTTTGTTCAAAGTTTTGCGTAAAAAAAACAGTTGCTGGAAAAATGTTACAAATGAAACAAGAATCCCCCAGGGTTATTCTTTAGGCCCAGTTCCATCTGCTTCTGCAGAAACAAGTCATGTACTGAAGACCTATGCTGCGATCAAGTCCATGCCGGGTCATTTAACGAGTCAACTCAGGCATGCGGATGAACTAAACACAAAGGAATGCTTCTGTCAAAGTTCATCTGAATTGCTTGCTATAGTGGGTGACATGTGAAATTAGCAATTATGAAGACTTGTAGGAACTCCCATGGACTTGCGATAGACTTATGAGGACTTGAGATGGATTTGACGGATTTGTGAGGACTTGTAATGGACTTACATGGTGTTATGATTAGACTTTGGCGGGACTTGTGAGGACTTGAAATTGACTTGTGAGGTCTCGAGATTGAGTAGCAGTGACTTGTGAGGACTTTTGATAGACTTGCAGGGTCTTATGGTATAACTGTGATATGGTCTCCACTGCAACACTGGCAGACAAACTCTCCAACCCCAATCGTCCCTTACCATTCTCTGCAAGGTACCTCCTGAACACGGCCACAAAGTTGCCAAACTTCTCGCCCAGCACCTCAGGGCCATCATTGGGACTGGCTCCAGCCCCTGGCCCCTGGAGCTTGGCCATCAGCTCCGCGACCACGGGCTGGCAGCCAGCCACCTCGGGCCGGCGCCGGCAGAGGTCCAGCAGCGTGTCCCGCGCCTCCCGCCACGAGGTGCACTGCTGGAAGGAGTAGGCCGCCTCAAAGATGGCAGCGGGGGACGCACTGCCGTCCGATTCCAGGCTGCCGGCCGATTCCAGGCTGCTGGCCTCCGCCCTCTCCTCGCTCCTGCTTAAGGGATAAGAGATAGTACTTAACTGTCTGTCTTGAAGAGTTGTAGTTGAGTGTTTCACTCTCGAGTACTATCCCCTTATAAAAGCAAGTACATTTACAAATAGAGTCAGTCAGTGATGTAACCAGGAGGAGGGGGGGGTTAGGACATGTGTCTTTTTTTCAGAGTTGCAGTTGAGTACTTTTGTAGTACCTGATTATGTTCACTTGTTACCAGGTTACTGATTAGTAGCATTACTATGAATGGGGCACAAGGCACATGTCCCCCCTGGAAGTTCATGCCCATGAATGCCCCTGTTTTTATTCTCTTTTGACACGTACACAGCCTATGTGCTCCCCTGGGTGCTCCCTTTCAAATATCACCCTATTTATGCCACTGCTGTCATGCACATGACGTGGAAGGACAATGACGGTGGAATGTGATAGTACGGTATGCAGAGCTTGCATCTTAAACCGAGAACAAAGTACTTGTGAAGATGTGTCATTTTAACTATAGCGCTTGTATGTGACTGAATACAGGAGAACAAGGACTTAGAACTTTCTTCCAAAAAGGAACAAAACGTGATAGAATTGGGCCTTTACTGTTCTCATGTACTCAGCCAAAGTATGTTGGTGCCTGCGTGATGCTTTGACGACTATAGTTAGTTGACCAACCCAGACCGGTATCCACACACACACCAGTGTATGCAAGGGTGACTGAGGATTTGTGACGACGTCCCGTTCTGACCAGTCAACCTGAGGGTGCTCAAACTCAACGTTAGTATGTCGGTTTGCCAAAAACGGCCGCCAGTTAAACCGTAATGGTGTACGAAAATGGTCACAATGATGTGCATTACTATTGGAACTGTTCACACAATAACACCACAAATCACCATCCTCCAATCACCATCCTAACCTCCACCACCATCATCTCATCCCTACGACAACCACCACCATTAAAATAATATAATCCATGCACTACAGTCCCCAAAATAGACATTCTTCACAATCACCTATCCTATTTGAGTATCTCATGGGCCTCCAGAACCTGTGAAAAGGACAGTACTCAATGTATTTTACAAAATCACAAGAATATGTATCACAAAAAGGGAAGATGTGAACATTAAACAACAGTGAAATTCACAGAACAACTTGCTCAGAGGCACTTTCTAAAACCTTGGCCTTTTTTTTAGCTTCCTTTTTTTAAGAGCCTGCGGGCTCGCTCCAAGAAAGATAAACCTCGTAACCAAAATCTCACCCTTGGTCATGGCTGTGCCGGCCCCCTCTTTGATGCGCATTCAATGCCATGCTGCATTCGTTCACCTGTGGTTTGAGGAAGGGAATTTATGGTGCATCATCTCCTGATCGTGTCCAGTTGGATCAGCATTTTCACCGGTCCCACTTTTCCCATGGTGGAATGTACAATATGAGTGAAATGTAAACGCTTCGTCAATCCAGTGGACCAATTTTAAAGGAAACTGCTGTTGCTGGGGAAGGAGCTCTTAAACTGTTCTTCAGAAAGTATTGCTAGGAGTATTCTCAGAAACTGCTTTACCCGTTATTTTTTTACTGAAATCAAAATCACAATGTCACTTGCAATTTTCAAGAAAACCAATTTTTCTGTTCATTTTTGATTGGGACCTTAACTGCAGTTTAGGATTTATTGCTGGGAACCTGACTAAATCCACAAACATCTGAAACCAAGCATTCCTAATCTCTGAACTGAACATTTCCAAACAATAACGACAGGACCAGGAGGAAACTGATTTCAGGCAAGTAACGACAAACTCACCAACGCCAGTATATTTTGAGTGTCTTCGTGTTGCTCTGTTGCGGGCGTCCTCTGCGGATCGATGATGACTTTCCTGACTGACGGAGGACACTTCAAACAACCAAAAAAAGGCAGAGTTTTGCTCACTGTACATGACACACGAATCTGTCAAGCAATATTTTCTGTTTTACTCCTGTCAAACTAGGCTTTAGACAATCTGACTGCCTCAACAGTCTGCCCAAAAAAGGCAGGTAGAGCTCGAACCGTTCTAGCCGTACCTGGGGCTGCGGTGTGCCACTCTGGGGCCTGGGCCTATCGTGTATGTAGGGACAAGCTCTACGCAAGCAGCGACCGTTTCGCACAAAGTCGTAACAGTAGCCTTTGGGTATCGCCTGACATAATTGGGGAGAGAAAAAACAAACAAACAAACACACGTAGGTATGGCAGCTGAACAGGCACACCAAGTCGTTGTTCCAGTCTATCTAGCAGAGCCAGATTCTCAAAAAAGCCTATACTTCTAATTGGAATGGCAGGAATTAAGAAAAAATTGCAACAAAACAAACTAGGATGTGGGTCATTCCAGAGATTAGGGGTCCAAAAGTGTGACATTTTTGACCTTTGTTATTTGACATGGAAATATCACTGGAATTGTTTTACTGTTGTTCACTATTACTATTTGTTTGGCGGGTAATTTCCATTAAGTCATCACTCTTGGGAATTAGAAAATGTGTTCTGAACTTATAAAATCATATGTTGGATGTGACGGAGACACAAAAAAACACAGACCCCTAATTTCTGTAATTACCCATATTCCAAACTACACACGACTCTCTGCAGTGTTTTCCAACTCGCAATATGGCCTAGGCAAGTGAAAAAAGGAATCAGTTGATTGATCCAAAGAAAAAGTACATTGCTATCAATGAGGGAGAGAGTAGTGGACTTTCTTCGGAGGCATGCTCACTGGGACATTTTAAAATGCTGTTTTTACTTTTTATTTTTAAGTACCTGATTTCTTAAAGGAGGGTGCGGTCGACTGTCTGCTGACCCCTGGAGGTGGGCTGGTGCCGTCCAGCTCCTGCCAGGAGCTGTCGGCACTGGCGCGGACTGGTTGTCCCTGCGGATCAACCTCGTCCGCAGGTCATTAGTGGGACAGTCCCCGCCGGCGAGGCTCCTGCTGACTGGCTGGTACTGCGCCACCTCGGACCAGTCCACTGTCTGCAGGGGTGGGTGCTTTCGGGGGGTCCCGAGTACACTTTGTGGCTGTCCGTCTTTTCTAATGGAGTGACAAATCAAAAAAAGTTAATCCCTACACTGATTGCCCCTCACTGTTTTCTTTTTCAAGCTGAACTCCATTTCTCACACCACACTTGCTAACGAATTATACTGCGCAGGTCTCCCAGAAGTAGTGGATTTTCTTCCTGACAGACTTTCCAAGAGACCTGCACTGCGATTAAGTGAGGCTAAAAATTCAAATTTGGGTTTCCAACTGATTTTTCTTGACTTCTAATTGCCTGTGAGCCGACAAACTTTAAACCGAGTGAGGTTCTGCTGAACTTCGATTGCTTTGCATGTTGTGTCACCCACTCCTATGGGGCAGCGTGGACATACGGCAGTTTCACAAAAACATGGGTAGCAGCCACACCGCGCCAGTGAAAACAACTGCAGCGAGCGCGCGTACGTACAGATCAAAGAAAAGATTGTATAACCCGATCCTTGGACTGGTTGGTGCGTGCGTACGTCACCAAGGTCGCTGTTTTCACCGGCGCAGTACCTGTCATTTTGGGAGAATCCCGGATGTCCGCACTGTCCCATACTGGACTCAAACTGGCAAACTGGTGGTACATTTGATAGTAACAATAATTTTAGGTATTACTTCAAAAAATTGTATTTCCACCAACCCAAGTTGATTATTGGTACCACTGGTTCCCTGTGGTTGGTTCCCCCTTTGGAATGGAGATCCTGGCTTCCTTCGCTTGTCTGTTTCACTGGGCAAACATTTAAACAAGAAAAATCCTGTATAAATCCAACAGGCAGTTTTTGTAACATCAGTTTGTGCCGAGTTATTACTCACTGTGACTCAAGTGAACCAAATTTCGAGTCTCTGAAAATAGGTGTACGAGTTCAAAAAGTCACAAGTTGTACAACTCTGTCCCCCTTTTGAGTTTTCCCGAGTTACCCCATCTTGCGGTCACTCTCCATCAGCTCGTCCCCAAAGTCGCTGAGGAAGCTCTCCGTGTCGCAAACCAGGGAGATGCAGTCCTCCTCTGGGAAGTCGCCAAAATCCGCCCCCAGTGGGGGCAGGGGCAGGGACAGGGACAGGTCATCGCTGAAATGGCTGGGGGTGGTGTGTGAGACCTCGTCGCTGCTCAAATGTGGGGCTGTAAGGAGGACGGCAGGACTTGGACAGACATTTGACACACCTAGGAGCAGAGCAGTTTATTCTGAACTTGAAGAAAACCAGTTTGGGTACTAGTTTACTTGACACTCTTTTGCTCAGGCCTTTTTTTTTGGAAATAATCCTCTTTAATCTCCCACTCTGCAGGAAATCAATGGCACAATCTTAGGACTTCAGTAAACAAGGCAGTCAAATAGCCATAACAATTCCCTGAAAGTAGGAACTGTTAAAACGCGTATGGTACTCTGGTGCAGCTCGGCAAAAGCTTGTTGAAATTTTAAAATGTTGCCATGTAACCTTGCAAAAGGTATGATTGAACAAGCGACTTTTTACTGGGTGTCGAGATCTGTCTCCCATATATGTGTAGAATTCATGCATGGCCCCCATCATAAAAGCCCATGCATTACGTCAGAAACTTTTTTGAAATATCAACACTTGAAATAAAGAGAATATTGAAAATGTCTTACCATTCTGTGACATCTCTGAAGAGTCCACTGTCTTCTGCCCTTCAGGGACGTTCGGGTTTTCGCAACGATTCTCTGGACTATTGCGTCCTCGCACTAATGCCACGGGCGGCACGTCCCGAGGAGCCGTGACGCATAATGACGTCTCCGCCATCGTCGCCAACAGTGCACTGAGGACCGGGGAGGACGAGAGGACCGGGGGAGGCTGGGTGGGGCCAGCCACACTGCATGGGACACTGTGACTGACGGGGCTTGTCACCGTGGGCACTGTAGTATCTGCAAAAAAAAAAATTACGGGTAAATTTAACTTTCGGGGGTGCCGTAAGATCCAGTGGCTATCAGGGCAGGTTTTCAGATGAACTGACTCAGTGGACATCACAAGAGATGGTAGACTGACCTTCAAAGTAATTTCTACACTGCCAATGTCTATGAGCTAGGCGATTCACCACAATTGCATTATTGTCTTTGTCAGCCTACTCTTGGAATTCTGACGATACAATAGTCCACCAACAAGCACATCTTTATCATCCATACTGCTCAAGGTTACCTAGCTGGTGGAGGATTTCAAGGTGTGCATGATAATCTGGGTCATCCTAGGTGCAAGAAGATGAACTGCACATCTGTTGTCATGCCGCAACTACTTTTCCGATTACTCGCCTGTGATCTGTTTGGAGTCTGTTTCTCCGGGGCTGGACTCTTCTGCGGTCCCTCCAACATCACTGTGCTCAGTGGTGCGGTCTCCGGTCAAGGCAAGTTCCCTGCAACTCTCGACAGCCTGTTGTTGAGCATTTTCCTGATGCTGTTGGTTCACAACAGCTTCTCCATCAGCTTCTCCGTGCACCTCTGTCTCCGAGGTTTCTTGCTGAGTCGGCGTCACTGCCTCCCCTGAGCTGTCACTGCTTGCAGCCTCTTCTGAGGTCAAAGTTTCCATGAGCAGATTGATTAGGGGATTTATTGGTTCGAAGCACTAGCGTTCCTAAAAACTGGGGATCTGACTCGAACATCAAGATCGAATCTTCCACTGACTTTAATAGCAGGCTGCTTGAACATGTGAGGTCATAATTAATGGGCCAGAAACAGTTTTCGTGTGATTGCATATCGATTTTTAAATTGAACAAAAAAAACGTCCAAAAAACTTAGTTTGTGAGGATCTGCAATCGTAAAGTGTCACCAAACTTTCACATGCAATGAGTGCCCCTGTCCTACATAGTTTGCATACTTTGTTTACTCGGCTACTATTGATTGCCCCGTGCATCAAAGTGCATCAGACTTTTTCACCTGATACACTGTGCTAGCTGCGTCTGGCTGGGTTAGGGTTAAGGACGGGGGAGTTAATTGTAACCTTCATTGTGTGATCCCTCCCACCGCTCTGCTCTACCTGGACAACACGGACTTCTGACTTCCTCACTCGCGGAACATCCGTCAGTGGTATCCGACAATCGGACCAATTCAGGCGACAGCAAGTCGGCACTCAGTTGGCTGGCCAACTCCTGGAGGGGTACAGCCAGCTGCTGCGACTCGGACATCCTGCTGAGGAAGATCTGCATTGGAGGCAGGGTGTGGGAGTAGGCCAGAGCGACCTCGGGCCTGGCTTCAGACTGCCGATAGGCACTGGTCAGGGAGACTAGGGGGACGTCATCGGTGCTGTGTGGGCGGGTAAGCGCAGTGACGACCACTTTCATCGGCGGGGAGGAGAGGCAGAGTTCTGAGCAATCCTCAGATGTTGTATCAGTGCTACCAGGGCCCATTGACTCGTACTCGCTGCTTATAATTTGAACTGAAACAAAAGAAAGAATAATCACTTTACACAACATGCTATGGAGGTACAATTTGTGTCTCGATTTTAAGTCCTATCTCAAAGCGAAAATCTAGCCAACAGTCTCTTTAGAAAAAATGGCTGAAATGTTTTATAAACTTATATCTTTGTATTATTGGAACTGTTAATAGAAGAAGAACATTTGCGCTTTTTTAAATATGCAGTGCACACATACGGGCGATTTTCTTTTGTCCACGGTGCTAATCCATGGGAGCGCTATGCCCAAAACAGTGGTTCACTGTTTCAAAACAGTGATGGATTAGCTTCGAAAAATGCAAACTGAAAAATGATCACAATTGCCAGCAGCAGGTCTTTTTTTTCCCGAGTACAGTCTTTCGTTACACGGACCAGCTCTTTTGTCCCATTTCGGGCACCCCGGCTCTGCGTATAAACCTAAGGTGCCCGAAATGGGGCTCTCTGGCAGCAAGTGGTTAAAGTCCTTGTTTAAGTGCCAGAAATCTTAAAATTCAATAAAAAAACATTTGGTGCCTTCAGACAGCTTTTGTAAAACAAACATAACTCAACCTTGGTTGTCCAACTCATAATCAAACAATGTGTCTTCTCCAACATAAAGCTGGGAGGATTTTCGGTCACAGGTCACACTTTCAGACTCAGAAGGAACCCTCTCAAGCTCCTGGGAGTACAAGTCGTTGCAGGGCACAACTCCTTCCTGCGTTCCACTGCCAACTTCTGAGCACGTGCAGTTGGTAGTCGGAGGAGGAAACTCCGTTGAGGTGACCTCCACGGTGTGAGCAACCTCTGGTGCCTCAATGATCTCTCCTGGGATCATGAGGGTAAGAGTAACAAAGTAAACCACAAATTGTTACCAGAATCAAAAACTGAGTTTACAAAAGGTAAAATCACAAGCTACTGAGACATGCGGACATGCTTTTCTGGCAGAATTTCACTGACTGTTAACTTTATTCACTACGTGCCATTCATTGGGTTGGAACCACGCGGGTTGCAGAGAAGGTGTCCCAATGGAAAAATCCTGTTCTCCATTTCCACAAAGGGCCAAATAGGTGGTAGGGGTGGGGTTTCCTTTCTTGAAATGGCAGCGCTGAGCTATAATATCTGCAGAGAGCTTTCAAATTGCCTTTTTGGAATGCTGCGACTTCACAGATTCTGTACCTGAGCAATCAAGATATTCAGCAACACTGTCGTTCCTCACAGGTTCTGCCTGTCTTTCAGAGTTAACCAAGGGGAGAGTTGATCTGGAGTCCTGTCCTGAAACTTGGAGTCCTCCAGAAGATGAGGACTGAGGATGGGCAGCTGCCGAGGGAAGTTCATCAGCGAGGGTATCACTGACAGGAGGGACAAGCTGAGATGGCCTCTTAAATCCCTGCAGGCTCTGGGTCCCTGCCACCTTCTTCTGACCGCTGGTGGTCAGCTGCGCCTCCTTGACCTTGGTTGTTGTCTTGCTGGGACGCTCCCTTGCTCCCCTTCGCTCACAAGCCTTTTTCAGACTGATGCAATCCAGTGGAATTGAGATGTTGAAACTAAGTTTGGGCAGGAGGACTTGGGGTTGGTTGGCCAAAATCTTAGCGAAAGGGACTCTTGTGGCCTCTGGAACCAACTGGTGGTCATTTGTCCCTTCTAGTCCTTGACTGATGCTTTTGACATGGGTGAAATTTTGAGCTGACTCTGGAGTTGCATCAAGAGTTTGAACCCCTTTGGTCTTGGAGAGAAGTTGGTCACCAGCTGTCTCTTCTGGTTCCAGATTGATGCCAACATCTTGGACCAAATTCTGATCTGACTGTTGAGTTGTATCAAGGTAACAGGCTCTGCTAGTCTTGGAGAGAGCCTCATGAGAGCCTGCCCCTTTCACTTCCTGATGACTGACTCTAATATCTCTGGCATTTTCATCTGATTCTGGAGTTATATCCAGGTAGGGACTTTTGCCGGTCTTAGTAACGGGCAGGCCTGCATCTACCCCTTTCGTCTCCTGACTGTTCATTACGTCTTGAAAAATGTTCCGATCTGCTTTTGGGGCTGCATTAGGACCAGGAGCCCTGCCAGTTTCAGGATGGGGCAGGTCGGAATTTGCTCTTTGCGGATTTTGATCCTCTCTAGCATCTTCAACATTAACATTCAAGCCTGATATTGGAAATGTTCCAAGGTAAGGAACTCTGATGGTCTCAGGAATAGGCTGGTCAGCATTTACTTGATGCCCCTCCTGATTGACTGCTGCATCTTGGACAATATTCTGATCCGATCCGGGAGTAGCATCAACCATCTCAGTAGAGGCTGTTTTAGAAAAACTGTATGGCAGTTTATGTGCAAGCACATTTTGTTTTTGTTTAGGGCTGGTGATTTTAATTTGCAAGATTTGTTTCTGCTTCTTAAAGGATGAGCTAGCAGATTTTGGTCTGTGATCCACCAAGACTTCACATTCATCCTGCTTCCTCCTCTGCCTTGTCTTTGGCCCTCTGACTGGACTATATGACTTTTTCTTCAAAGCTGTCCTCTTAGCTCTGCTTTTTTGGACATTATCACCTGCAAGATCTGGCAGCTCAGGAACGTTTCTCTTGGTACCTTGCCTCTCTTGTGCAGCCCAAGCAGATGGATTCTTTTGTGGTTTGATCTTGTCTCCAGCAACTGCTTTATATAAGACTTGTGCCACTTCTGCCATCGTGTTTGATGAAGGTTGAACAGAGTGCACAGACTGCAACTTTGATTTCCGGCCCCTATTCTTAAGCACCAAAGTTCTAGTAGTAGATTTACTGCGTGTTGTTACACCCCCTGATGATTTTCTAGGAGGTGCTGTCACCAAGGTATCGTCCCTTTGGTCACTACTATTAATAGCACAATCATCCTTTGCCCCTTTGACTTCTTGGCACCTTCAAAATCCGGTGACTCAGGCACCTCTCTCGAGGTACTTTGCCCTTCCTCTGCAGCCCAAACAGATAGACACTCTCGTGGCTTGATTTTGTCTCCAGCAACTACTTTGTGTAAGATTGGTAAAACTTCTGCCACCATGTTTGATGAACGCTGTAACAAGTTCACAGGCTGTATCTTTGGTTTCCTTCCCCTTTTTTTAAGCACCAAAGTTCCAGTAGTAGAATTACTGCGAGTCGTAACACCTTCTGATGTATTGCCAGGAGATGGTTTCAGTAAGGGATTACATGTATCCCTTCGATCATAGTTATTACTGGCACAATTATCCCTTCGTCCCTTTGGCTTCTTGGCACATTCAAAATCTGTTGTCTCAAGAACATTTCTCTCAGTGTCCTGCCTCTCTTGCGCAACCCGAGTGGATGTATTTTCTTTTGGCTCGATCTTGTCTGAAGTAACTGCTACATGTAAGACTGGTGCCTTTTCTGCCACTGTGTTTGATGAAGGTTGTGCAGGGTTTACAGACTGCAGCTTTGCTTTTGGGCCCCTTTTCTTATGCATCACAGTTCCAGGATCAGAAAAATTACTGCGAGTTTTTACACCTCCTGATGCACTCTTAGGACTGGCAGGTGGCAAGGTATCATCCCCTTCATGATTCTTATTACTGACACCGTCATTCTTGTTTCTTTTTGGCCTCTTGACCTTCCTCAGAATGTCATCTTCTGCTTTCCGAGCCCTCTTCCTGCTGTTTTGAGATTGCCTGGAATTGTCTGAGACCTCCTGGAGTTGACCACATTGCTCAACAGAGCCCTGCAGCTTCTTTCCTTCCGACACTGAGACATCATCCCGTGCCCTGCTTCTCTTCAGTCTCCTCGCTGGCTCTTTTTGAGATGGATCCTCCTTTCCTTTGCCATCCTTGGCCTTCCTTCTAGGCCTGTCATGTCTCTCATTTCCCGTTCGACTAAGGCCAAGCTCTGCACCAGGCCCCATTTCTTTTGCTTGGCCTAACTTGCGAATTACTTCACCTCCTTCCCGGGGCTTCCGACAAAATCTGCCCCTCTTTCTTTGGGGTCCCTCAGTGACTGCAACCTGTCTCTGCGGCCTTGTCTGGGGGACTTCAGGAATGTCTGAGGTGGAAGCATCCTTACTGGTCAATTTGTTCTTAACCTTGGCAAGCCGTTCAACCTTCCCACTCCTAGCCTGTCTTTGCCCAGCACTTTCCTGCCTGGTCTTTCTCAACCCATCTCTCTTACCTCTAACTTTCAGAAACGTAACCCCGCCTGCCGTGCTCTCTTCGCATTTTCTTTTCCTTGTTTGAGGCCTGCTTTTAGTTTCCGACTTGTTCGAGACAACTGGATGAGAAAACTCTGTGGGAAGGTAAGACATTTCATCCTGGAGAGCTCTTGGTGCATTAACTAATTCCTTCAGTTCTGGTAGACACACATCCTTTTTTCTCTTAACAGCTGCTTTGTCTGCTTCCTCCACTTGAGCACAAACAGGTTTATTTGCGGTAGTGGAAGTATCAGAAGTCTCCTCGCTGTCAGTGAGGACATCTGTCCCACTGCATTCATCAACCATCTGCCCGATGGAAGGGCTAGTCCTCGGGCTCTGATTATCAGTATCTTTCTTCCTGTACGAATCCTGACTCAAATCGAGAGAGCTGGCCTTGACTTCTTTGGTGCTTTTATCCAGGCAGCCATTATCCTCTCCACCTTTTGGACTTTCATCCCCTTGACAACCTTTGCCCCGAATGTCCTGCTCCTCCTCTCTGTCTGTGCCTTCTGAGCTACTTGTGTCCCCGGCAGACACACCCTCATAAGAACCCTCATCAGGAGCTTCCTCAGATATTTCACTTTTGCCCTTACCCTCTTCCATGCTGGTGTCTACTGAGCTCTCCTCTACTGATTGGTAACCTTCCCCTCTTTTGTCAGTTGCATTGACCTCCATGTTTTCCTCACCCGCCACCTGGAAACTCTTGGAAACACAGGCATCCACTCGGCCATTCTCCCACAAAGTTGAGCCCTTGTCATTCCACATTCCCTGTCCACTCAAGGAACTCTCCTCAACTGGGACGAGTTTAAGCTCTTCCTCCTCCTGATGAATGTCACTGATGTCTTTATCAACACCGCTGGTGGATTGTGTAAGGCAGATGTCATCTTCAGCACAGTCTGTATCTTCAGTGTTTTCCTGCGGGTGATCCTTGTCATCTCCCGTATCAAAGAGGAGGTCACCTTGTTGCACAGTCTTTCTGTCATAATGTTTGTCTCCCTTGACAACATCAAGGATCACTTTCCATACTTGGGCAGTTCTACAATCCTGTGTCTCTTCAGGACAGAAATCATCTGGTGGGACGTAAACCTTAGTGTTTTTATCCTTCTCCTCGTGGTAGCTCTCATCACCTGCAATGTTCTCTCTTCCAAGGTCCTCTTGGGGGTCACTTTGCTTGAGGGCGTTACCATTGTTGCTTCCCTGATCACTGCAGATGATCCTCTCATCTGACTGGTCGATTTGACACTCCTCATACTGTAAACTACCACTGGTCACTTCACAGACATCACCACTGGCTTCTTCAGGACACAGCACATCCAGAGACGAGGCAAGATCTTCCATGTCTTGATTGTCTCCCTTCTTGCATTTCTCAAAATCTCCAGCATCCTCCTCAAGGTTGCTTTGTTCCACTGTCTCCCCGTCTCCTTTCACATTTCTTGCTTCATCATGAATTTCATATTCTTCTTGTTGAGGGCTACATACAGTCTCCCCATCAACACCACTGTCAAGTTCTCCAAGATGTGACTCATCTTGAGAAGATACAACATCCCCATTGTCCCCATCATTCTCCTCGCAGATGCTCTGGTTATCTGCAACATCTGCTTGCAGACCATCTTGCATCTCAGCTTCTTCTTTGTTGTCACTCTCTTGTCCACTTCGGGTACTTTCCCCAACTCCCTCTGGAAACCTTTCATCCTGCTCTCCATCAACACTCCTGTTGGACTCTTCTGGCCAAAAATCACCCAGAGAGAATTTGAGAAGTTCAATCTCTTCCTCACCCTCTTCAAGGCAGCTCTGGTCCTCCCCAACATTGACCCGAGGGTCATCGAGTTGAACAACTTTGTCACTATCCCTGTCTTCCCATTCCTCAGGAATGATGTCCCCCTCCACTGGGTCGATTTTGTTTCCATCCTCTTCCTCCAGAGAGCTCGTACTCGTCTCCTCACTGAGGTCACCTTCCCGTTCTTCAGGGCACAGCTCGTCTGACGAGAACTCAGCCTCTGCATTGTCTTCTTCAGAGTGGTCAGACTCGGCCATATCCATGGCAACCACATCTTCTCCATCATCTTCATCATCGTTCCTCTCCTCACCGTGGAAATTAAACTGGCTCCATCTGACCCGGCTGATTGGATTCTTCTCTTGGTGATGGGCCATTTGGAGATTTCTGGTCATTTCCTGGAAGCTGTGACTCGCAGGAGCTAATGACATTGCTGGAAAAACCAGAAACAGGAATTCAGTCTAGGCATAATTATAATCTTGAGTCTGATAAACATCATTTTATCTCCATCAGTTTTTTTTTTACAAATTTTGATAGCTCTAAAGTGAAATATTATGAGATATCAATTCCAAACAAATTTTGACAGCTGAAATATTATATCAATTCCAAGTATTGGAAAGAATCAATACTCTGAAAAGTCACAATCCTCATAATCAATATTGAATTGGGATGTGAAAAACATCACTGAAGGCTGTGGTCAATGTGCATTACAAATGAGGTGAGAGAAATTTCATATTGCTGTTACAAACCCTGTTCTCTGCATTTCTTAGCCTCCCTCTCTCGCAATATTTCATCCAAAGTTTTCACGTGCACAGAATTTAAATCCACTTCTGAAAAAAAAAGGAAAATTACAAATTTTCAAACCCAGGGAAGTAAGTAAATGGAATCTACAAGAAAATGAGCAAATGAAATTCATTTTCCCCCACAAACTCTCTCAGGGTCATCAGCCTCAACATAAAATCTGATCAAACATGACATTCAAAAGGAAAGATACTTCGGAAAATCACAAATGAAGACGTTCCCCACAACCTCCATTAGCTCTTAAACTATTCATGAAATAAATAGAAGCAGCAGTGCTAAATTTCTTTTCTATTTAAATGAGAAACTGACCTCTATTCAAGAATGCACATTTCAGTCCATGGATGGTTACTATGAAAATCCTAACTGTGAAAGCATCCAATATCAGAGGCATATCCAGGAGGAGGGCTCCCTGGAAACATGTTTTCATTTTTTTTTACATAAAAGGAAGCGAGGGTACCAGTATTTCAGAAATGGTAGTACCCTTTTTGGGGGGGGGTGAAATTTTTCAATGGATTAAAAAATTTGGACAGTTGGTTTAAAAAAAAATAAAAACAACATGGGATTGGAGGCTTCCAACTTTCCCCCATGGGTGCGAGACTGTCCAACACTATGCTGTGTTCTCCAGGATACTTCTGACAGGAACAAGATCATTCCGAATTTCAAGGAGATTTAAAACTGCCTGTTAAGTTCTTTCTACTGTTCAGCTTCGGAATAAAGTAATGTAGGCATTTGATTCTATCTAGAAAGGATGCAGCCTTCAGATTTGGTGGGACTGAAGCAATGTATGCCAACCTGGCAGGACTCCGAAAGATCGGGGCCAATGTCGCTGCCATCGGGAGTTCCGTCGGGGCCAGACCGGGTCTCTGAGATTAGCCCACCACTTCCCTTGTCGGGGAGTCTTGGGCACTGACGAAGAGCCCTGCATTCGGGACCACCAGTCCCACTCCATCTTCAAGTCTGTTGGAATGAAGAGGTCTGGAATATCAGACGGCATTTAGGCATAATTCCCTTACTTAACATGTCAACAGCAGCAAAAAGGCAATTTTCACTTCATCAAAGCTTTGGGAGAAACCAAAGGGGCAAGCCTTTTTGAGAGTGGGATTTTTGGTCAGCATTCTGGGGAGGTGGATGACATTTTGAGGAAAAAGTCCATATGCAAACTACCAAATGTGAAAATCTGATGAAACAAAAAAAAACTCTTTCTTTGAAAACACTTAGACTTTTTCCCGCCATTGCCTGAAGACTTTCTGCACAAGGTTTACTGGGTGGCAAACATGGAACTGTTTTTTCGGTGGGGGGAGGCAGACCCACCCAAAATGCATCTTTTTCCCTTAACCGCACTCAAAGTGCATCTTTGAAAGAGTGCAGCTGTGTACAAAACATCTGGAAGATTCCAAAATTTCTTCAATCCTAGAAACAACTGGGTTATTTTGGACCATCTTAAACTTAAAGCTGGGGAAGAGAGGAATTCTAACCCCCCCCTCATGTCCAACCATTTTAGAAACGTCAAGTGAGGCTTAGCATGTACCTAAACATGCTAAAGACACTTTTACTTAGTTTTACTAGGCCTATTATAAGTACAAGAGTGAAGTTTCCATTCCGTATTACCGATAGGACATATAAGGTTTTGATGTTATGGTAATTTTAAATTCATGACCTCAAATGTGTCCCGAGCGTTCACTGATGGGCGCACGAAGTTACATAAGGTACATACATGTACACTGTACATGTAAACCATGCTCGGCCCTACTAACTTGCAGCAGATAAATAAACTTCTTCCAAGTTGTTTTCACGACAAATGTGGTGAGTTACATATTCCAATTTTCAATTCCATTTTGACAAGTCAATACTTAGGTCTTGCAAACAGCCCAATCAAGCTACTGCGATAAGGTCATGGATAAACAGAAACTCACCGCAAATTTGATAACCTCGTGTAGCTGAAAATTGTCTTGAATCTTGTCCCTAATTGTTGTCTAGCGCCCTCTAGTTGCTGCGAAATACAGGTTCATTTTTCTTTTGCAATCTCGTGGTGGCGTATATTTTGTGTGACTATCCGCGCTGCTAGTGCGGGGTGCTGCAATTTTAACGTTTTTTTCCAGCGTAAATATTAAGCCAATGGGTCGGAGCAGAAGTCGATCACCTGTAAGAAGAGGTCAGCAACTTAAGTATTATTAAGCAAACATCAGGGCTTAAACCCACATTTGACATTTTTATGGAAAGAGTTCCATTTAGGACGCCACTTGACACCCTGTGCACAATCAAGCCTTATGCCTAGTCATCGGTAGACTGGTCGGACATGTCAGAAAATTTACGTGTTTTCTTAGAAAACGACTTGTTTTTTCCCTTTTAAATTGAACTTTTCTCTACATTTTTTGCTTTCTGACAGCTAGTAGGTCGCTGTAGGGAAAAATTACTGGCGTCCGTATATGGAACTCTTCCCTTATCTTTTTTTCAGGCCTCTAATCAAATCATGATAGGCTATGGCCATCCTGGAGGTTGGAGGTTGTTCCATTTATTGCACTCGACGTTTGGGCAAAGGGGCAACTCTCCATTCACTTTGTACTGGGATTTGCATGTTTTTCTCTTTTTGCAGCAATATGATAAAAATAACAAACTTTTTCAGTACAGTCATTGTGTGGGAGATATATATAGGCCTACACGTATAGCACGTAAAAAGTGATTTCAGGCACATTTGATGTAAAGGTCAAGAGTTTTGTCAATAATTCACATTTTCCCCATAGACGGCTATACTATTTTTGCCCCTTTGAGTTTTGAGTGTGAAATATGGAATAGCCATCGATTGACTAATCAGAGAGAAGAATCAAGAATCAGTGACGTCATCCCGACCTTGAGAATCCATGCCATGAGAATGAACATCCTTGATTTCCGTCAGGACAGTTTTGAAAACCGATGAGACTTTTTTTCATTATTCATTAGTGGGTGTACGTACTGCACATTGATAACGAGTACGCATCCATGCAAAGGGAACCAACGTTGAAAGTAGAGTACTGAGTAGCCTAGCTCTGAGTCCGTCTTGCATCATGCCATTTTTCATTTGTACGCGGGCACACCATGAACCCCCGATTTTTTAACCACTACCAATGGGAAAAAACAATGATTTTGCCTAAATAATAACTTTTTTGAAAATAATGAAACTCTCTGGCGGCTGTGTCAGCGATATGCAGATGGTGGACGGAAATCCAGGATATTCATTCTTCTGGCCTATAATATAAAACATGTAGTTGATGTTAGTCTCTTACGTACGACTGTTGCCTGTGGTTCATGTCTCCACAAAATTGTCATCACTGTGCGCAATTTTTATGGCAATTCTCTGATTTTACAAAAGTTAAAAATTACACGTGCAAATTTAAAATTTGCACACTTCCAAAGATTGCGCTCCACATTTTTATTCGAGTCACAATATTGGCCACTGGACTTGAGTCCCAATGACTTGACTCGAGTCATTGCAGGCGAGGCGAATGACTCAACTCCATTCAAGTTCTAATCATAAGGCCCAAGTGACAGTTAATATGACTCAAGTCCCATTGATAAAAGTAAATTTCTTGGTGACAAAATACTTTGCAATGACTTCTCGTGCTAGTTTGTAATATTCACAACATGTGTTATCATCGTGAGCATGATGAGTGCATGCCCAGTTAGCAGCAAAATATACACTTCGTTAAAATACATAAACGTAGAGTCATTTGTACTTCTTTTCCCGATTCCAGAGAGGCGGCGATCGCTCTCAAGGGAAAGAGACAGAAGAAGAGGTGAGCGAGAAGGGACCTCAAGTTCCCTCATGGTTCAACTTTTTTGTGTGAAAAGGAAAATACTTGCTCATGCCAATCCCCACACTGTTAGCACAGTCAGTATAATTGTCCTATGTCAGTATGTTCAAGAGCATAAGTGCTATGATTTTTTTTCTGTACGGGGAGACCACAGTCATGACACGTTTCCTTGGCATTTCTGCAAGGGACTGGTCCCCCCTCTCTCTCCCCAAATCCAGAAAATGATTGGAGCATTGTTTACACTGTAACTTTCAATTGGCATCCAGCCTGTTTGGAATAATGCGAGGGGAGGAGGGGATTGCCTTTCAAGATTGCCAAAAACCTCCCGAAGGATTGCGAAGGAAGGTTTGGGATTGACTGGAGATTTTCAGCGACTGTTTCGTGGAATGATGTTTGTCTTTTTACAGAAAGGCGACGAAGTCGTTCTCGATCAAGGTCCCCAAGGCGTAGACGAAGATCAAGGTATATGCAGTGTTCTCTAACCGGCAGAAGCAGCTTGATGGCCCACCAGTTTTTGCTTATCTCCAATCACGTTTAAAATGAAGAAACCTAGCTTTCAAGTCTGGTCGCCAAGTGAAGAATTTTGGATGCTGCATTTACATTCGAGAAAATTTCAACTCAATGCATTACCTGGATGAAAAAAAGCTGTCTGTGCATGTCTGTAGATACTTCCAAATCACAAAGGTGTCAAAGATGACAAGAAATAAACTGAATCATTGACAAGGTCCTTATTTTTATTTTTTACACAACTTCTTTGGGGAAAAAAACAGTACTCATTATATTTGTAAATTCTTTCGAAGGTTGTTAATTGATTTGCTGTTGACTGACCTCTACTGTCAATTCCCTTTCCATCGGATTAATTGATTTATTGACCAGTCTCTTTCCTTTTTCTTTCCTTTATTTACTCCTCTTTGTCAGATCTCGCTCCCCAAGGAGACGAAGGTATTTGTAGATTCATGTTTGTGTGTCAAGTCATAATGGGTGAAACATTTGGTGCATCATTGAAAGGGATGCATATCAGTGGCTTTCAAGCCATGAGACAATTGGCAGTGTGCGGTGTGGTGTTAAAAGTAAAGCTTTATCCAACCAAGGAGCAAATAGAAGGTTGAACTGAACCTATGATGCATGATATGCTGCAAAGGGGGACCCCCTCTATTGTGTCTTCTTTTGTGTCGATGGAATCTTAAGAATCCCTTTCAGATTTCCGAGGGGGGGGTTCAGTAGGCACAATAGCCTTAGGGTATGCAACTTGTGCATCGCATTGGGGGGTTCCCCTTTACCACAAGTCCTGCTTTGTCCCGAACTGAAGAAAGCTTGTCTGCATCCCGCCAAGGCTGGTAACTGTCCTTGGTAGAGAATTACCTGCATCATCTGTAAGGAGTTGTTCGGAAGGAACGACCTTGTGCCATCAACTGTGAACCGATTTTGGCATCAGGAACCGGTCATTGAACTGTCTCTAATCGGCTGTAATGACTTGGTGTACCTCTCCAATTTACAAACGCTTAGTGTCTCTTCAGGTTAATTTTTGTTAGGAAATTTTGAATAACTTTCAGAGGATCATCCATTATCATGTTTTTCGTTTGTCTTGTTTTTGAGACATGTACCTGTGTTGCATAATTTCAGTAAAGGAAGACAAGATTTCATCCATCGACTGAATGCCACGTCTTGTTCAGTAATTGTTGACTGTGTTAATCTGATTTCAGGAAAGACAAGTGTAATCAGTTAAACCCTTCAGTGAAGTTAATACGGATTCTGTCCCCAGATAATTGCTGTGTATTCCTTTCTCTTATTGTCTGCATGTTTCATGTGATATTTGTCAGCCTTTTGGGAGAGACATACTGTTAGCTATCTCAGATTCTGTTTTTATACGCTGTTCAGGTCTCGTTCCAGCAGCCCAAGAGGACACCGAAACCGGTCTCCATCGCCGTATGTATAAATCAATATTGCTGTCAAGTACAAGTTCCAAGTTCTCCACCAAATATGGAATATGTTTAGTAGAGAACGAAGCTGAAAAACATCGGCATTGGTTGGTAAATGCGCTAAGATATGGTGACAAAATAACAGGATGACTTTAGACCATCACTGTATAACAAAAGCTCAGTTATTATGAAACGACTACGCAAAACGTTTTCGTCCAAGTATTTTTGTTGGTACTTTGCTCCTTAAAATCTTGTGCATTTAAGTGTTCATTGTTCACTAGCTTTATTACCTGGTAACCAGTTCAACATTTAGCAGTGAACCTGATAGTCATGAAGTATGCATCTACAACACTGATGTAAATCAATTCAAAAGCAAACAGGGTGTCCCCCTTTTGAAATGCCATGGCTGGCACAGAACCAAAAAACATCGTGTTACTGGTCCACAGTTGTAAAAAGAATAAAACAAGATTTCCGTGTCCAAAAGTGTTAAATGACTATTACTGGCTTTCGTCTCTGACTTGAAGCACATTAAGATCCACCAAACGCCTTTGGCTCTCCATTTCCTGCTCATGCGCGCCGGTACTTTTGTTACACTTCTTTCTTTCTTTGGTTTTTTTACAGGGGGTCCAGTAAGGAAGCGATAACCCAGCCTAGCAGGCCTGTCATTGACGGTAAGATAGTGTTGTGTCTGTAGGAAAAAAAATAATAAAATGGAAATGCACCTGTTACTCATATTTACCAGGTCATTGAAGTGTTCTCGGGCTGTTTCAGACCCTTCCGTAGCATCCACTCTGCGCCGGATCAGGAAATCGTGTTTTTATATCAAAATGACCTCCCTCGGGTTGAGAAGAGGCATTTTTCTTTCTTCATGTTCTGCGTGGGACGCACTGAGCGTTGCGGCCATTTTTTATTTCATTGAGGTGAAATCTTTCCAACCAGCCTCTCTCATCTTCGCCAGTGCAAGGGCCGGGTAGGGTTACGTTCCGCCTCGGCGCGCGGTATTTGATGGGAGGAAGGATTTCAAGCTTTTGCACAGTCATCCATTGTTTGCAATAGCACCTCTGTAAAATTTGTCTTTAGAGGAATTGTGGCAAGGCATTTAGGCTCCATTGAGTTTGGGTAGTGGTTTTTTTTTCAGCAGATATGAGACTTTCTTCTTTTTTTTTTCTTCACCAGAATCCCAACTGGAAGGCAAAACAGAAGAGGAGATTGAGATGATGAAAATCATGGGCTTTGCAGGTTTTGACACGACCAAGGTAAGTGTCTAACGTCTTCATCACTCAATCCACCTTATTAGAAGTTGGCCATATTGAATTGAAAGAGAGGTTAACTTTTCTGTTTTGGGAAACCTACAGATAAAAATGAAGGCGACGAAATAAAGTTCGTTACAGATTAATTTCATTTACGATAACGAATAGCTGACAATTTTTTAAAATACCAGTTTCGAGGTCTATAAGTGGATAATCAAAAGTTTTTACATTGTTCTTTGTGAAGATTTCTTTTAATCGGCCTTGAAAAGAGTTTTCTTTATGTTGACAGGGTAAACATGTCCCAGGCTCCAATAATGCCTCCTTTGTATCTATTCAGCCCAAAAGAAAATACAGGTAATGTGACACAGTTTCTTATTTTTCCCAATCAAAGCATGTTACAAAATTGCACGTAAATGCCTCCTATTGTAACTCAGTAATGTATTTCTGTGGCACTCTGTTAAAATTCTAACTGCAGTTCGCCTGTGTAAGTCTTTTTATTTCCCCTGAAGCACTGTTTTCTACAAGGAAGCTCTTCATAAATTTTTTACAAAGAACGGTATTTCTCAAGCTTTCCAATTTACCATTAGTCTCGTCGATCCAGTCTCTTCTTTCGGCTGAGTTTCCTTTGCTCGCCCCAGCAAAAAATATCTCGCCCACATATTTTCATTTGCCTCTTTTTTTTTTTGTTTCTGTTCTGCAGGCAGTACATGAACCGACGTGGTGGATTCAACAGGCCTCTGGATTTCATTGCATGACACCTGTCTGGTACCTGCTCCTTGATCATGTTGGATATCTCAATCACGCTGGCTGATTTCGGGCGGCTTGTTCTTGTATTTTCACAAACACCTTGATTTGTTGTTCGTGGGTCGGCCACCTGAACGCCGGGAACGCACAACCAGTTATCGGCTGGTAGTTAGTGAGAAGCAACATGCAACATGGCGGTGTCCATGTACGTCATTTGAGAGTTAATGTGTGGATAGCTGGGCTGAATTCTAAATTTTTTATTTAAACAGGAACATCATTTCTGTGCTGTGGAAAATAATTAATGTTAATTTTGCAAAACTTCCTATTGTCTCTAGCTTTGTAAGCCATCTTTCTACCTTTTGCAGCTGTTCAAAAATCAAAATGTCACAAGTTTTTCCGTGTGTTCATGTAAGACCCTAATGAGGAGCTGGTGTGTGATCCTGTTCCAGGAACAGTGTTCCTGGGTCGTGTTCCCACCGTTCGAGAGCGAGAACAAGAAATCTGTGTCAAGAACAGGCCGCCCGAACTCGACCACTGTTAATAAAAACAATGGACTTGGTTTGGCATTCATTGTGAAACAAACGTATTTCCAACCTCAAAACCGAGAATGAACCCAAAGACGTAGCTGCCTGAAGCAAAATGCCTGATGCTCAACCAGAACAACCGACACTCAAACAGTTACTGGTCACAGCCATCCTTGTATCATTTGGTCCGGTCAGAGGTCGGCAAACCAGGAATTTCATTGAGCTGCCAAGCACCATTTGTCAAGCAGCAAAGGGGTCTTGGCCAAAACACCACGTGTTGTACAATCCTCACGACCGGTTCCCACTTTTCATGTTTGCTCGGCAAGAGAGATCTGCTAAGCCATGTCTTCTGCCGATGAGCAACTCAGTTAAATTTTAGCCCCCTCCCCACCCTGGTCTTAACTTCATGGAGAAGAAAACGGGGTCATGTCTAAAAATGGCAACTGCAGACTGTAAACCCATTGAGGTTACTGGCGAGTGGCTGCAGCTTCTTCCCCTAGATTGCATATGACAGTCCTAGCCGCAGCCAGTTGATCTAGATGCAGGCTATTCATTCAGTGTATAGACATGCTAAGGAAAATCAGCTTTAAAATCAGTACCACATAACGTCCGTCACATGACGGCTATCACTTGTCAACCGGTTGAAATCCTAAGAAGCAGCATGGAGCACGACACAGACTTTTGTTTGTTTGTTCTTAATTTATTTACTTTTTCTTTTATTTGCCCAGTAGTAATGTAAAAGTAGAAAGGTAAATGCAGGTTAACATGTATAGAAACTTGGATGAAATTGTTAGTTGCGAGAGGTTATTAACATAGGTAAGAAACTTTTCATGTATTTGTTGTAACTCGTGTCTTGTGTGTCTATAATATGATTTGTTTGAAAAAGTAAATTCTAGGTTTTACCTAAGTAGGTGTGGCCATTTTCTTGAGAGAGGAAGGGAGATTTTATTTCCCTCCCAAGAGTGTGTATGAAACCCCAAAATGTATCCTTGCCCATCTGAAAAGCCATAAAAAAAGCCACAAGAAATGTTTGTGTTTGAGTCCCCTCCTGAAAAATAAAAATTACCCACTCCGAAAGTTCGAAAATTTTATGCGAAATCCTCACTTGTTTGTACGTGATCATCCTGCTCAATATACATGTACACTGTCCTGTACTTTCACTGTGGAAAGAGTAGACGGTTTTTCACTGATGTTTCCAGTGTTTTGTGTTACGTGCTTGGTAAAGATATTATTTGGCATAGTTTATCAGTTTCGGCTAATGAAGCGTGGCGAACTGGCCACTATTGGTGCATGTGCTGGGAATAGCAACACTAAATCATGGCGAGTCGATGCGTATTGTTGGAATTGGCTTACTCGCCAGACTGTAGACCCTTATAATTTTGGACCGGCTGTTGCAGTCCGTCGCACCTTTACGGAACAACCCAAGCGATCTCTGCACTCTATCGATGATTGTGTTATCTTGTGTAAGGCCTTGGTATCAGAGCACGTAAATCCAACAATCTTTGGGCCCTGGGTATGAAAGCGCGCAGCGCCTCCCGTGTAAGCTGTGGTTCTCGAGAGAGGGGAAGAAATGATTTTCTTGCACTTCATTTAAATGTCCTACAAGGTCTGTGTAACAGCATTCGCCCATTGAACACATTTCAAAGAGATTAAATCCAAATCTTTTCGCATCCGAATTCACAGTAAAAATTCAAACACCATTTGAAGCATTTTAAATTTTTTGGGAAAAAAAAACAAACCAATGCCGTATTGGAAATGAAGTGGTTCCCATTTCACGCCAGCTCTCCCCAGCAGCAGAAAACAGAAGAGATTTCTTGCTGCGGGCACGAAAACACAATTAATTTCAAAGTTTCTTGTGGTGGCTGAAGGTGACGCTATAGGTCTGTAATAGGCGCGTTCAATTATAAAATTCGTTTCAACATACTCGGTCACCTTTCCCTGATCGCCGTAGCACATCCTAGCTTGCCTTTTCCTTTGAAAGTGGAGAGTTGGAAATTGCTTGTTCGAGGAAAAATTTACTGCCAAGAGCGTATCCACATTTAATTGTGGCCAGCTTTTCATTCATCAAAATTCTCTTGCACTTTTGATTATAAATTTATTATAAATATTTTTATTATAACTTTTATTATAAATTATTTATAAAATTATTTTAAGGAAGAGTGTAGACACATCAGCGTTAGTCTTTTTTTTCCAAAAACCATACACACCGCCCTGTTCGAGATTTCGGAATTCGGCCTACATCATGGTCCAGACGTGACGTGCATCTGGGGCACATTTTCCGTTGAGGTCTTTCATGCCTTTCCGTTCCAGGTGCCCCGTGAGAAACGTTCCGTCGGACGTTAATTTGGGCCGGAAATTGGGGGGAGGGGGAATGACTGGCCCTGCCCTGAAAATTCGAAGGGGGGGGTGGGTGGTAACACCACATGAATCTATATAGAGGTCGATGTTTATGATATATTGACGTACATCCGTAAAATGTATTCGGAAAAGTAAATTAATGGCTTTTTCAAATTGTTTTCCCCGTTTTTAGTGCCTATTGAACGCATATTGGTTGATGAAAGTCTGAAAACTTCACAGTCTGCTTTAATTTTTTGCTCACCAAAAAGGGGGGGGGGGGTTAATAGCCCACCCAACCCCTCAAAAAGTGTGTGGGGATATATATACCCCATCCCTCGGGATTTACGCCCATGCCGTCGGACTTTGGGTTCAGTGCCCGATGCCGTTGATGTTCGCCTTCAACAAGGCCGTCTGATATCGAATATTACATAGAAACGAAAATTATCGGCTTCCGCCAAGGCTAGAGCGTTACTGATTAACCATAATCGAATACTAAAAAGGGTGAATTTATAGCGTGGGCAATTATGAAGCAAGAATTCTATAGTATTCGAGTGAACGACATTTCCTGGGAATATCATACTGACAAATTAACTACAATGGCTCCGAAAAATTACATCTTCGTGGAATCTGAAAGAGCTGTATATATAATCGTGATCAAACCAATCCTTAAGTGTTAACTGTAGTTGAACCCAAATGGGCTTACAGTGACCACTAAAAGACATTCAAAGTTTATATACTTTCACGAAAATAACACTCATTTTCGGCTTTCCATGATTCAAGATAGGTTAGAGAGCCCGATCACAACCCCCCCCCCAAAAAAGAACAAGAAATAGAAATGAATGGACGAACGATTTGATTTCAGGGTCTTTGGAGAGACATTTTGCTGACATTTACATCTACCCGTGGGTATGTTCGCTGAAGCGACGAGCCAGAGCTTGGGGGGGGGCAGAGGTTTACCCGTCCTCTTTGATGCTGTCTTTGGCTGCCTCCAGCCTTGAAAAGGTTTGCTGACCCAACACCACGCACAGGCTGAAGCAGTCGCCTTTCATAGAGCGCCAGAGCTGCGTGGAGAAAGTTCATGTATACCCATGCGATCATTGCAACGTTCACGTGACACGCTCGTGCTAACTGTCAAATTTGCATTGGGTCGATTTTCTGAGTATTAGGTTATCAGTTGCGACTTTAAAAAAGAAGGTCGCTCCTCTTGAAATGTATTATAACCCTTTAATGCATTTTGGTGAGATGATGCTAAATTTTATCTCTTCATGTTTTGAAAATTGGAAGGGAAATGAAATAAATACTGTCCCATAATCGCCCCTATCTCATTCTATTTCATGGATCTGCCAATGATTAGGACAAGTATAATAATCTAGCGACATATATTTTTGTTCTGTCTCATAAACTCCCCATGCTTGGAATACGGATCCCTTATTTTTACCTGTTTTGGCTTTTCCCGTTTCTTCTGTTGTCAACTGACCATAAAAGCACTTTCCACACCGAGATGGAATTTTCCCCCCTTTTTGTGTCCGGAGCATGACAGACCCGGGAAAAAATACTGAATGAGTTCACGTAAATGGATCTGAACCATGGTGGTTATTTTCACTGCAAAAAGGGGTTCTTAATTAAGGATACTAAAATATCTCCACTTGTAAAATTTTTATAATTTCCGTCCTTTAAATGTGGAATTCGTCTCTGTTGCTCCCCCATAATATTCGCTTTGCCTCTAACCAAATTTCGCAATAAGTGCACACAAAACCAATGGACCATGTGTGCTTTCAGCGAGCGCTCCTGGATGAAGATCCTTAATTGATACATATTCATTTTGCACTCTGATTGGCTGAATGTTACAGTTATCGATTTTTCTGGTGAAGCACCCATCCACTTATTGGCTGTTCACTCTGGATAATCTCCCGCTTGATTAGCCACACAGTCTAGACATTTCTTGACCTCCACAGTTTGGACTGAGATAACCGCGGTCTCGCCGAGCGCAACTGACGTGTAGCTGTTCCTATTTTGACTAATCCGTGCCCCGCACGTTTCCACCATGAGGAGCGCACGGCAGACACACCTGTTCGTGGACACATGGGGGTACTCACGGGGATTGTGTTCCACGCACTAGACCCCCAAAGCGTCACTCCTCTTGCGAATGATGCAAGAGGCAGGAGTGCGCCTTGATTGGCTCGCGGCGACCTCACAAACTTGCGCTTGCCTCTTCAGTTTCTCAAACTTGCCCGTGCTCAATCATTCAAATTATCAAGCAACATGTACCCCGGGGAAGACGAGATTCTCTGGTCTCCTTCGAAATACGGAACTCGGCATCGAAATGGAGAAGATATAGTGAAAAGTATCTCACTGTCAGGTAGGCTTTTTTATGATAACGCCCGTAGAAGGTCTTTTCAATGTCTCATTAAAAACTTTTCTCCTGAATTTCCACAGTTTTTGGTCGGCACTAAATCTTTTAGATTCTGCAAGTTATCGTGTTTTCCCACAGAATGTATTTTATTCTGAATAGTTCGATACCAATGTTAATACGGGCTTTGCTTTTCAGAAAGTTAGGAATTTGAACAAAGTAACTAATTTCCTTTTAAGATTTATTCTAAACGTGAATACTTTAGACTGAGAACTTCTGAGTCAGATTGTGTCCTATTTGAAATGAATAAATAAATGGCCATTTATCAAAATACATGTATTATTGAGAATCCATCAGACTAAAACACAGGTCTTGAAATGAATTACATAAGACAGGTTTGCAAACTATTTCGAGGTAATTTGTTGCACCCGACAGCATGGAGAGTGGCGTACTATATATCAGCATAACAGCATTTGAACATGATGCATTAAATTAAACATCTAATGGGAGATTTCGTTCATAAAGGATTGGCTATAGTGAATATTTTCAGATTGTTTTCAACATGTTTGTATGAGTTGTCAGTCTCTAAGTTCAATGTAGACAGGCTTACAACTCTGGTTGTTCACATAAACATTTTAACTTTTAGCCTCGCTAAAGAACAATTTCAACAAATTTAAAAGTAAACAACAGTGAAAATGTAAATAATATTATCAGCAGTTGCTCGAGTCTAAATGAAAATTAAGGTTTTGTCTACAGAGGGTTGAGTCATGTTCTATACTCTTCATTTTGTTTAAACACACATTTCTGCATTGTTAATTGTCTTCGAATATTCCTTGAATCATGCATGATTTCAAGGCGTTTCGAAGGCATTATCCGTCAGCGAATAACTCCTCAGGGTGAAAATTAAGGGAGTAATGAAAACTTCAAGAGCAACTTTAACACTACTTCTGTTAAGATGTGGCAAAACACTAATCGGCATTTTACGGCATAAAAAGGGCTCCATGTGATAATAATAATAACATTAAAAAGTAGTCTTGTATAGCGCCAAGTCCGCCTAAATTAACGCTCTGGGAGCTTTACATATAATAAGATTATCAAAATGATCATAACAAAGTAAAACTTGGATCAAAAATTCACTATTTAAAATCGACTTAAACCAATACGAAACTTTAGGAATCTTAAATCCACAAGTTAAGCCAGCCAGGAATGAAACATGAATTTAAATTTCAGATATTAGGCCTACACGTTAAAAGTACAAGTTAAAAATGTACATGTAGATTAAACACCAAAATTTAAACAGGAAAACACCAATTGATTACCATATAATGATATAGAAACAGCAAAGCAGACACAACAGATGGACTCGGACAAACTCAGAAACAAAAACAAACAACTAAGAAACAAAAACAAACAAGAATAAACAGACAGGCGTCTAACAAATGAAAAAAAAACCAAGTTATATTGCATGCAATAGTGGAAAACACTAAATAGTGTAGTCCGGGTTCAACACGATATGCACACTTAGAGTGTATTTACACAGAAACAAAGTCAGTGCAAACAGTGACATGAGATGTGCGCCTGCGACTCGTGAGTGACCCTCACAGCCCATGGTGTTGGGATGTGATTTCGTCATCGAAACGGTACCACTGGTCGCCCAAGATTGTGACCGTGGACTGGATCATGGACCCTGGACTCAAATGCTCATTCATGCATATCATGCACGTGCGCCGCACGCTGTTAGTGTATGTGCAGCAAGTGAATTTCATCATATCCTCGGAACCCCCCCCCAACAACCAACCAACCAATCAAGTCAGGGTTCAATCACGGCCACCCGTCCCTCATTTTTTACGATAGGTGTGTGCATTCCTATCTTTCGTCCATGGTGCAACATAGGAACTAGACAATGTTATCGTCGTTCTTTGTTGTTTTTCTCGTCGTTTGTCCCCACATTTCTGCACTTAACGAACGTCAGAATTTGCCATTACAAGTATTTTGGTTACAAAAAGAGTAGATTCAGTGTCAGGATGTTGAAAAGGGACATGCAATTTTTGTAGTCGGTAATAAATATAGTCGGGTCCCTGCATTCCGTATCGGAGACGTCGAATGTGAACAATGGACAGTTATTTCCCCCCACTTTCACATCATATTAGACGGAATTCTGTTCCTTTGGAGTTTTGTTTGTAATGTAGGAATGAAAGATTTGGTATGAATGGAATGTATCCCCTCCCTACGTTCCTGTACGTATGTGGAAACTGAAAAGACTTCATGGACTAATCTTATGTTCGGGCTCACGTAAAGTTCTACGGGGTAAGCGGAGCTTGTTTCTCGGCGCTTTAGTGGTACGTGGTCTCGCCCAAGCAAGCGAAGGCAGGCAATGTAGGGAATTGTGTATTCGCCACACCTGACAATGACTACAGTCCTAGTGCAGACATGCCTGCATGACACGAAACAGTAGAAGCAGACATTCCAGAAACCTCCATATAAACTGCCCTGCCTAGGCCTAATCTAAAAGAAGCATTTGTGTAGTGTAAGCCTGCTGTAGCCTAGGGACGTGCTGTTTTTCTCTTGGCTATCAAGGGGCTTACATGTATATCATAATGTTTCTTTCATTCACTGTATAACTTTTTTGTCAGCATTTTTCTGCCGGAGAACAGGCCTAGTCAAATTTTTCAGTAAAATTTACATGTATTTTACCAGTCGTGCCAGTTGAGGGTGACTTCCCTAAAAATAAAATTATTAGAAATGGAGTCTGTATCAAAATCAGCTTTTTCGAAGAGATGTTTTACTTTTCCACAAAAACAATTGTAAATTACTGTGTACATACATGTGAAAATACATTTTATCGAAAATGGGTCACTTGGGAGACATTCCCATAGGAACGTGCACAAAATTTTTCAAACTTTACCGTCCCATAATTCAATATTCCCTAATCCGATCTTAACCAAACTTTGCATGTTTTCCTTTCAGACCCTATTCTATCATCTCTCAAAATGTGGATGGTAAAAATTTTCCTCGTTTTGGAACTTGGAGACATTGAAATGTCTCCCTAATGACCGATGTCTCCCTAATGTTGAAAAATTTACCACAAAATGTCTCCCAAGTGACCTATTTGGAAATATACTCTTTATTCCACCATAAACTATATGTACAGTATTCTCTCCAGACATGCCAGACTCTAGGGGCACCTGGAGGGAAAACGCATGAAGAAATGCTAAGTTTTAGATGTCGGAAGAAAACCCAGGCAATAATTGTGAATAACCTAATCCATAGGTTGACCTGGGCAAGATTTGAACCCGGGTTGCAGGTGGATGGCAAGGAAAGTACCACTGTGCCAGTGTCACTGACGTGTTTGTTGTGGAATATTAAATGAAATTTATGAAATTTTGTCAGATTGCTGAGAGCATGGAGCTTATGAGCATGGAGCTATATAATTAGTAACTAATACCCTGCTATTGCAAGATGATAGCCAGATGTTAATTAACGAGGTGTGCGTAAATGTGCATTCATTCGTGTACATGTAAATACCTCATACAGAAAGTTTCCCAATACAACAGCTTAGAAGGTGCATGTCTATTAACATTCGATAATGCCCACTGTGTAAAAATGTTCTGGCACCTGGATACGAGACAGTTTAATCCGTTCCTATTAGTCAAGAGTCTGTATGCATGGCACACAGATCTCGCCATGCACATGCCCAAGTCGATAGATGAGATTCTTCTGGACTAATTGTTCAAGGAGTATACCATCAAATGGACAGGGTTGTTCAGGGAAATACATGTAAAAGTAAAATTCTTGAACACAGTCTTCGGAAACTTTATCGTATACTGATTTTTTTTGACTCAACTAAAATGTTATCTGCAAATGGGAATAAATATGTACTTGGTCGGTCTTAAACTATCATTTAAGACTGGCTCAGGAGAGTGAAAACTGATACTGCCCTCACCTGCCGCTCAGGCATCATTCATGTCCATTCTCCTGAGCCAGTCTTGAATGCACACCGGCCAAGCACATTTATTTCCTTAACCCTAACCCCCAGGGACCATTGAAACCATGCACATGCTTGTTAGACTCTGAATAGTTAGGGTTAATATAACATGCATCCAAGTTACTGGGGAGTATCTGTGACTCTGAGTAACTATGACTCATGGCTCGTTACTTGCAGAATAGAACACCAGCGGGCATACACACATGTTTTATCATTGTTTCCACCATTAATGCAGTAGTCTCCCTGAAATATTGCGCAATTATTTTACTCGTCTCTCTAAAAGGTACGTAATTACACTCTTTGTCAAAATATAACATTTGAATGAAATTGACATTTGAAGAATTACTTGATTAAATGTAATCACTCCGTTGTATCGTACATGTACCAGTAAGTTGTAAGTTAAAACCAGAAAGACAAGGTACATGTAAGTGTGTAAATCTGTTCCTCAATATCTACAGAGTGTGTGGGCACGTTCATTGTATTTATACATGCTGTGTATAACATGCTACAGGTGTAGTTAAATTTTTTTTTTAAAGTGAATTTTATATTTTTTCTATTAGACAATTAGGTGCAGTACCCCGGTATGTCACAGTCTCACCGAGCAATGACACAGTTATGGTGCATGTAGTAACATGTACCATGACTGAATTATTTTTCTGATAATTTACATTCATGTTGCAGGGTTGTCAGAGGACCATTCTCTGCATTTACTTGGCACACTTGCGCAGGTTATGTGGAGTCTCCAGAATAAAGAGGGCAATACAGGCCTACTGAATTCAATCTGTAAACAACTAACTTGTTCATTGGAGCACTGGGTGGTAACATGTGTGTGCTGTTTGACCTTTAGGACACCTGACCTTTGCACTGTAGGTCAGCACACACAATGGGACCTTGATCCTGTTCAAAACAGGTACATGTAGTGCCCAGAGAGGGATGGTTTCCTCACTCAGTGGTAAATCCCATTGTTCGTTTCCTTGGAAGTGTTTTTTTCCTGTGGTTTTTGAGGGTTGCTTGACGTGTACATGTACCCCCTGAGTGAAAGGAATTGCACAGTGTTGCAAGGATAGAACCAAGTTTGAACTAAGATACCGGTAGCGGTACATTGAAAGCAGAGGCATTTTTGTGACTGTCAAGTTAAGTTGAACATTTACCTGTTTGTGAGCATGTCGGTTTATGTCAGGATACCTGTTCACCAGATTTGGACAACGTGGGTAAGTTTTGTCTTTGTTGAAATGAAACAGACCATTTGGCCTTGTAAGTTGTATTACTTGTATATATGTAAGATGTGTGTTCCCATTGAACCTTCAACACTATCTGGACTTTCAAAAGATTAATAACCACAAAAATCTACCTATTACTTACATGTAGCACACAAACATATCAACCTTGTAGTATTTCACCAGCGCAGTAACTAACAGGTGTATAATGCAGGTGATTTATGCACGTGTCATGTACCGTACATGCTGTGTGCACTCTTAACTGTTTCTTCCGCCTGAAGAACATGTTAATAAATTTCTTATACCATAGGATTAAACGCGTCATTACCAAGCTTTGAGGATTTGAATGAGGAAACTTGAATTTTGAAGTGCTACATGTACATGCAGGTAGATGTTATAGCAAGTTCAAGTACATTTACTGTACATGTAAAAAAGGGTTTGAGGCTGTTGATAAACTTGTAGCATTTGCATACTGTGGGTGTAGATTTGGTTATAGTTGACAACATTTGCAGTGAGATCCTGGTATTGTATGTATTGCACTTGACAAAAACGTTTCAGGCTGTATGGTGCCATTTAAACACATGCATTTGCATGTGTTAATGAAGAAAAACACTGATTGGTGTACACACTGCAGGCTGTGCAAGATTGGAACCTGTGACCTCCGCTTCACTGTGCTACACGTCAAGCCTGTTCTGCCATAAATTCCTGCGTCAAACTGATTAAAAGCAGATCTTGTGGTTTTCCCATTGAGTTTCAGTGGAGGACTGAATGGCAAGTGAACAAGATTGACCACTGGAAATACGGTCCACTGATTCAAACCCCCTGCTTTCTTCCTTTACTGTCTGTCCTGGTCGTCATTGGGCTGTTGGAAGTCAGACATGCTGAACTGGTTGTTAGTGAGTGTCGAGGCAGTCTCCTCTCTTGGGCCTGGACGCCACTTCATCCAGGCGCGGTACAAGGCAACAATCAGCAGACAGTCCAGCACCATGATGGGTAACAGCAGGGACGGCATGACCAGCATGTCGTGGAGGAGCGGGCTGTCCGCAAAGGTCAGCAGGATGAGGGTGAAGGCCACCGCCATGTTTTGCATCCCTGTCTCCAGGCTGACCGTGCGGCACTGGACATGGTGCAGGTGGAGCGCCCAGGCCAGGAGGTAGCCCAGGCCAAAGCCCAACATGGGCAGGCCAGCCACGGCCACCCAGATTTGCCAGGGGGAAGTGAACATGGCAGGGTTGATTAGGCCAAGTATGGCCACCGCGCCAAAGATCCCCAGGAGGGTGAAGGCACTACCGAGCTACAAAGAGCCAAGAAAATAAAGTCCTGTTGATACTCGGAGGACAGAATCCAACCAAGCTGGGAAATTGGGTACCGTAGTTTGTGTGTGGGGTGGGGAGACATATTTGCTGAAAAGGCTGTAGAGTTACATGTACATGTACGTAGAGGTGGAGGATCTAGCAGAATCAAGCATCTTCTAGATCTGCAACTTGGTTAGGGATAGAGAAATGGAGGATGAAGTTAGGGCCGTTTTCCAATACTCAACTTCATCTCCGTCTCGGGCTTCGTGTAGGAAACCAATCCCTGATTGTGGGCCTGAGACGTTTAGCTTAAATTGAAGTACTGTAATGTTTGGCTCTTTTGCATCTTACTGTGGCACTATTGTGTTGCACTATTTTGTGGCACTATCAGACTTGCTGTTGAGCTTACAACCTCAAAAGTCAGGAAGTTAAAAAAAAAAAAAGCTGAAGCCTGAGATGGAGCCGAAGTTGACTATTGGAAAATGGCCTAGAGTTGTGTTTACTTACTTTCTGGGCCTGTGCACAGATTGCTTTCAGTGAAATCAACTATGCATAATGGTACATGCAAGGGCTCATTGCAAAGAACAAGGCCAAACAAAGGGGAAAGGTGCTTCATAGGTGAAGGATTTGGACCTGGTAAAACTTCTTACCCGTGCCAGCAGTGGAGCCCAGAGTGGTTTCTTGTACTTCAGGAGCATGCCAAAAGGCACAGGTACCACTATGAGAGCTAGGCCAATGGCAATACTGTCATAGGGAATCACAGTGCTCTCCTGGGTCCAGGAACGGCTGTAGATGAAGAGGTTGAGAGGCATCATTCCCATGGCGACAGACGTGGACAGAGCAGTCATGGTAATGCTGAAATTGAGAAGATGGAACCTGGAACTGTACATACATGGACATGTACTTAGATATGTCTAGAACTAAGAAGGCGTTTGTGTTTGCATGATGTTAACTGGATCTACACATGCTAGATACATGTACGTACCTCAGGCACACGTCCCCGTGCGTCAAATAGGTGAACACATTGGAGGAAACACCCCCTGGGCAGGTAGCAGTCACCACTATTCCCAGTGCAGAGGCCGGTTTGAGTTGTAAGGCATGGGCCAGACCAAACGCTGAAAGAGGGAGGGCCACAAACTGGGACAAGAAACCGACGGCGACACCGTGGGGCCGACGAAGCTGGAATTGGGGAGGGGGAGGTAGGGTGAAGAATGACAGCTTCCGGTGAACTTCATATCTCTTGCTTTGAGTATGTAATATGGAGATCTAATCCATATTCACCTGAGGCACTCTGTGCTATGGAGGTACTTCATTTTGCCATCAATTCAGTTTTATATAGGTACCGTACATACTGTACCTATGCGTATACTAGTTTTTGGCCTCAAGTCTGGCATCAGTGAAGTGTTGATAGGGGGTCGTTCCCCTTGCATTGTCAGATTCGTAGAAAATGGATGTGAGAGCAGAAGTCTGTTCTAAAATTTCCATGACCAATTCAGCGCTATTTCTCGCATGGTGCACTCAAAATCTGGTGTATTACTTCACCAACCCCAAAGAAACCAGCATTTACAATGTACCGTACTTGGACAATTCACGAGTTCATTTTTCCTCAACGGGTGACTTACCACTCTTTTGAAGTCACACGGGGAGAGTGTGCATCCCATGACAAACATGTTAACAACCAGCGCAGTTGGGGATAGTATTTTATTTGCCAACTGCAGATCCTGTGTGGAGGGGAAAATCACTGCCATTTATAATCTCAGAAGCAAAAAAACCAACCAGAAACCACTGAAATTGACCGTCTTTTGAGCTTTGCTGTGTGACTTTCAAGGAACTCGGATTGAGCCACTTGCAAAGTGAATGCGGCCCAGGGCTTAGACTTCCCCAGTCCTGCAAAGTACTGGTGGATACCAGAGGGTGTGGAAGTGCTGGAAGTAGTGTTACTGGGTGAACAGAATGAGACAGCCGCACAAACCTGGATATGCTTTGGTGGCCAATCTTCAGTCGGCAAAGTTGTCAGGTTAGGGTCTGTGGTCTGGTTGTCGCTCTCCATTGTTGCAGAAATGTGTAGCAAATCACTGCTCTGAGATACCGTACCTTAGCTCCTAGATAAATTTTGCATTGGTTGGCCAATGTACACTTCCCAAACTGACATCTGCGGTTTACCTGTAGTAGTTACCCATGGTGCCATATGCATTTTACACAGAGTATAAAATTGTATGTAATTTTCTTGTCTTTGTTTTATTTTTTGCTATTTTGCTATTTTGTATTTTTTTTTTTTAGGTATGTGCTGATAGTAACTATTATACATGTCTGGCTCCATAACATATGTACATGTAGGGCTTTTATGTGTCATTAATAAAAAGTAATAAAAAGGTATTTCAAATGTTCATAAATTGGCTGTTTATATTGCCTTCCAGCCAGTTTTGTAAATTGCTTCAGGAAGAGAGGAGACAGCTGTGTGTGGCTTTAAACCGAACAGAGGCAAGGAAATATTTAATGAGCAAAGTCAGTCAAGCAAGAAAAACATTCTTCCAAATTAGAATTCATATAAAGCCATATGACGTAAACATTGGACCGTTATCTGAGGCACACATGTATACTTTAGGCCAGCCTGGTGTCTTGGCTGATTGCAGAGCTTGAATCTGGAGGTTTCTGGCTCAAATCCCATTGCAGACCCATTCTCTGCCAAACCAAATGCTCATTTAAAGGCTGAAAACCTGATCTCATTTTTTTGGTCTCTTTGATTGAAACTTTGATTATACGTTTTCTTTCTGTGTAATTACGCGAATATTCCCGTACTGTCGCATTATGCAAGATGTATATATTCAGGCACATTTCACGTGATTGCCCTCCCTACCACATGCTGACTGTGGCTGGCGTTGGTTTAATCAACTTGTATGCAGTTAATGTGAAACCGAAACCAGCTGCAAAATGTTCAGTGAGTTTTAATAAAGTCAGAATAATTGATTAATCACCAAGAAGTCAGGATTACAAACAACCCAAGTCAGAGTAACGACTTTAAAAAGTGGCCTTAAAGTGGTCGTAAGCATAATTAATAGAAATGCTTAGAAGTCCAAGCCAACGGCAAATGCATTTACCACAATAAGTAGCGAGGCGCTTGTACTGTACATGTGCATAAAGACACGCACACAGCAGCCTGGAGCTCATGTGCTGTGCATTTGAAGCTCGCCGCACTTGAAAGCTACATGTACATGTATCTCATGGGGGACGTTCCTTACGAGTAGCTCGCGTGTGTTGTTGCCGCGTTTTCTGCTTCATGAGGCTGCGTGGCAAATGCCTACCCTGTTTGATTTTTGTGAAGCGGCCTCACTCGCAGTTCAAGGCAGAAAGCACTGAACAGAAATGCGATAGCACACGATGAACTACAGTAGGTGTTGAACACACAGCCACTATAAGGCTTCTTGCTCATTAGATGGCTCATCATGTGTGTGGCAGGCTTTAGGAGTATTCTGGTCTAACCTGTTTAACCCTAACCCTCCCAAATCGTTTTCTGCAAAGTGGAGGAACTTGGAGTTTTGGGGGTGTATGGCAAAGTGCATGGCTGATTTCGAATGATGCCATACGTGAAGGTCGTGGATTCGACCTTATGTTGTGTGCTTAGTAAAGCACAAATTTAGCCCGATATTTCTTTTGAATCAACTGCACAGCTCAAGAGTCCTATTCACACTGCCTCAACATAATGACAGGAATTGAATGCAAATTCTTCATGTTGAAATTCGGAGGATTTCGGAGGATTCAGGATGGCTCCTGCATGTAGTAAAAGGGCGTAGTGGGTTAGGGATAATGAAGATTTAATGATGAGTCCCCCTCCCCAGGTAAAAGGTTGTGCGCAAAAAGCCAAGGCAACTTTGATCTGGAGTTATAAATTATTTGCCTAGTCCAACCTGTGTGATTTGTAAGGCTCTCCACAGCTGTAACAATACATTTGATTTGGTACTATGGAATCGTGAAATTTTTCACCGGGTCACATTTTAAGGTTTGTCACAATACTCCACATACATGTACATTCTGTTTGACAGTCACCTGAAGTTGAACATACAGGTAGCGTAGTGTTTGAAAAATCAAAAATCTTTTCATCAGAGGCAAGCCCTTCCTTGCAAAGATTTTTGTGGTGTGTCCGTTTACTAACTGTGCCGAACTGGCTCTGCTACTGATATAATGCACCTCAGATGCTGTACATGTGTGCTCACTTCTCCACATAGGAATTAAGATCAGTAAGATGGACTTAGAAAGGATGGAGGAAGTCTACCGCAAGTGGGAGAGCAAAGCGAATCCTGCCTCGCAGACCTCACAGAACTCTCCAACGAGGACCACAATGATGCCTGCAGTGATGCCCAGCGGCAAGAAACAGTGGAACGACAAAATCAGGGACGACAAGCCAGAGAGACGGAGAAGACGGTCAGGGAAATCGTCGCAGCCGCCATCACTGGTAAGTGGACTTCAGGGCGACAGTTTAAAGAACAGTGTCGCAATCTTATTAAACACTATGCTACGCACACACATGCTTCACAGCTTGGTCGATTCCTCGGTTGCTTGTGAGTCCTGTCTACTTGTCATTTTGCCTTTGAGAAAGATTCTGCTAGGACTGAAATGTCAAGCCCTCCATATCTTGTGACCACACTACACATGTCACGGTAGAAGTCAACATGAAAGCTTATTAACTGTTTACAAATCACCACACGGGCACCTGGACAGTTTTTGAAAACTGTTGTAAGTGCACTGGTAAGTCCATGTGACCAAATACTTACGAATAGAATAAATGGAATGTGCGAATAAATAAAAAATGTTGCATTATAGACGCTTTTGCCCCTCAGACTAGTGGCTTAAAAGTTTGCCTACTGACAATCTTAAAAAATTTACAGTTACAGTTTACAATTTTCATGTCATCATGTACGGTTAATACCATTATGCTAGTTTTGTTTTATTTACTGGAACCAAAGGAAAGGTTGACTTTGGCTTTTTACTTGATAGATGTCGGAAGGGATTATGAATAGTGTTGAAAGTATTGATATTTTTTTCTAGCGATATCGACCGTTCCTGATTGACTTCACGAATATTCACAGGGAGTTACACAGTGAATCACTGACGAATGAGTTAGAGTGTCAGACTACATGTCCTCAAGAGGAAAATACGGGGCAGCTGTTTAGTTAGTAGAGGTCACAGTTTAAGCTTGCTATGGCAACTGTGGACAAGCGATGAACCTATCACAGGCCAAGAACCGGGTTTTTTCTTCATGCGCAGGAAATCTGAATTTCCTTCAGCGCGCCCACGCCTGGCTTCTTCAGCGAGGTCTCTTGACCAGCGAATAATTTCAGGTTTCGTTTGTGGAGAGTTTAAACTGAAATGTGATCTCTGACTTCAGTCCCCTTTCGTCTGTTTGTGTGTTGGTAGGATCTTGTGCCAGAGCTGGCTCGTTTCAAGTACACGCCGCCGGCGTTTTACGAGACGACAGGGGGCCAGCGGCCTTTCATGGGGAAGTGTTGCGCAACTTGTAACGGTGGAAGCAGGGTGAGTGGACATGCACTTGGTGGGTTGATTGCAATGCACATGGCTCAGATGATATGACTCATCAAGCCTCAATCCTGCTTAGTAGCTGTAGTCAGCCGACCCCAGCAAGCTCGGTGGTCGAGTGGTTAAGACATCTGCACTAGTAAGCAGGAGGTCGTGGGTTCGAGTCCCACCCGAGTAAGCTTGTG